TTGCGCTACAATTGACAATCAACAATGATCAATGATCATGTTGAGTGTTTAAAATGTTTGTAAATCATAATTGTTGCCATGCTACAAGTTTAAAATTTATGTTGATCGTTTTAAATTGTCCATTGTTAATGGACCAGCCCGGCGCGGCGCGCGCTATTTTGGGCTACTTAAAAGAAATTTAGACGAGTAACATCATATATTCGTCAACGTTTCAGAAAATTAAATTATCATTTTTTTATGATTTCAATTTTTAAAAGCTAAAAAAGTTGTTTATTAACGTTTAATGGAAATTTAGCATTTGCCAATTTAATTTATAAGCAACAAGTTCAAAGTAAGTTTTAAATTATTTTTGATTCTTGAAAAAATTAATTTAGTTCGATTTTAAACATGCAATGTAATTATGTATTATACAAATATTTAGTTTAAATTATAAATGTACTTTGAATGCAAATAATAAATATAACCACAATAATTGATAATCAAAAAACTAAAAATAAACTAAAAATTATGCGCGCCGCGCAATTTTTCATTTTCCCTGATTACATTTTTGTTGTATACTATAGCTGATCTCACTGTTGGCAAAAAGGAATTTGATTATATGAAACGTTTACCTGAGGACCCCAGGCTATTATGTTCATTAACATAAATAAAGATTTGGCGGAATGACAGGCTGAGCGCGGCCCAGTAAATGAAACGTTTACTTCAGGAGAAGAAAATGGGATTAGCAAAGATATTATCCAATAATAAACGATATGTTGACGATTTATTTATTATTAACTACCCTTACTTTCATAAATTGATTAAAGATATTTATCCTAATTCATTGGAGATAGAACGAGCTGGTTCCAATAATAAAATTATTAAATACCTTGATTTAAATATTAATATTTCCACAGAAGGACTAGAAATATCAGTGTATAACAAAACTGATGATTTTAATTTTCATGTTGTATCCCTTACATTTCCTCACAGTAACATCCCAACCGAGGTTGGCTACAACGTTTTTTCAAGTCAAATTCTTAGATATGGTAATGTTTGCACTAGATTGTATATCTTTACCCCCATCTTCACAAGATATTCAAAATTCTAATTGATAGAGGATATAGCCGTGATAGACTGATTAAAGGTATTAAACGTTGTCTGAAGAAATATAATAACGTTTTCAGGAAGTTCGGTATTCTAGATGACCATAACATTATTAAAGAACTCCCCTGATATCTTTTGATTTTATTGAAACACAGGTACTAACTCTGCTAAACTGAAAAAATTCTGAAACTTAGGTGAATAAGTGTACAACGTGCTAAACCGAAGTTCAGACTGACCAGTGAAAATGGGCGAGCGTACCAAGTGTCATTTTAATTAGATGTTTTAGTCAGTGATTTATTATTGAAGCTTGTAATTACAATAACTAATGCTCCTGTAAATACTTTAATTAATTGTTTGTTCCGTTATTCTTTTTCCTTCCTCTTTTCCTTGTCATCCCCTTTAGTTTTAAGATTCTTGCTATAAATGGCTACAGCTAACACTATTAATGCTAAGTACCAAACAACAAGTGGGAGGTGGATCGTTGGTATACCGTTAAATCGATTTAAGGGGGGGGGGGCCAATGGATATTTTTTTGTGAAACTTGATTTCGAGATAGCAGTTGACCAACAAACTAAGACCAGTGACCGAACTTTTGAGGGGGTCCCGGACCCTAACCGCCAAACGGTGCCTGCGGGGCAGCCACGCCCATATTTGGTCCAAATTAGGCCCAATTTAGCCAAATACCCTGAACATGCCCAAAACCCAAATTTTAGGTGCTCTACTTGTAGCTAGTGGTCTCCTGAACTCGTATATGAAATTTCATCAAGATTGGACAAAAAATGACTGAGTTATGAGCCAAAAATCATATGCCCATATTTGGGCATACGCACCAAATTTGGTAGATTTCGTCCCATAAATTGGTCAAATATCAATATTTTTCACTGAAACTTACTTTATATGAAAGGTAAGCCTAAACTACATATTCTCTGTAAGTTATAGCTTTATATCTGTTTAAATGTGGATACTAAGGCGAAAAGACCACAAAAAATGAACTAAATTGCCCATATCTTGGTTCGCGATATTCGCGGAATTGATCTCATTAAAATTGTAACAACTCGATCAGTTTTCAAAATTTTTCCATGAAATTTTCGGAATCGACTCGAAATCGCATTTCCACCTTAGTTTGAGAACAGATTTTTGATTTAGGCCTCCAAAAAAATTTGGCGGCCAAATTCCAAAATTTTCCCGGAGAAATTCAGAATTTGGCCGCCAAATTTTTTTTGAGGCCTTAATCAAAAATCGGTTCTCAAACTAAGGTGGAAATGCGATTTCGAGTCGATTCCGAAAATTTTATGGAAAAATTTTGAAAACTGATTGAGTTGTTACAATTTTAATGAGATCAATTCCGCGAATATCGCGAACCAAGATATGGGCAATTTAGTTAATTTTTGTGGTCTTTTCGCCTTAGTATCCACATTTAAACAGATATAAAGCTATAACTTACAGAGAATATGTAGTTTAGGCTTACCTTTCATATAAAGTAAGTTTCAGTGAAAAATATTGATACTTGACCAATTTATGGGACAAAATCTACCAAATTTGGTGCGTATGCCCAAATATGGGCATATGGTTTTTGGCTCATAACTCAGTCATTTTTTGTCCAATCTTGATGAAATTTCATATACGACTTCAGGAGACCACTAGCTACAAGTAGAGCACCTAAAATTTGGGTTTTGGGCATGTTCAGAGTATTTGGCTAAATTGGGCCTAATTTGGACCAAATATGGGCGTGGCTGCCCCGCGGGCACCGTTTGGCAGTTGGGGTCCGGGACCCCCTCAAAAGTTCGGTCACTGGTCTTAGTTTGTTGGTCAACTGCTATCTCGAAATCAAGTTTCACAAAAAAATATCCATTGGCCCCCCCCCTTAACACCGCAATTCCAGTCGCAAGCCTGGGACCACTACTAGTATTGTCACAACATCTACAAAGCTGCCATATAGCCTGACTGACAATTTTCTCGACTGACTGACAATGTTTCTTCTTTTCCCCATTTAGAATACAAAGATTAGAACATTTTAGCTTATGATTAATATTATATTTTTACTTTTACCTATAGTTTACCTAGATTTAAAATCGATTGCTTATGCAAACCATGTTATATTTTTCCAAGATTGCTTAAAGAGTTATTTCATATAATTCATATTTAGTTAACTACTAACTGTTAACTACTAAATATTAACTACTAATAAATATAAAAGCTGACATAATAATTTCAATTTCGGCTGCAGATCTTTATTTTGCTATTCGTATTGTGTATTGTTATTTACAAAATCCACCATATCTTCTATTCAGCATAATATGATTAGACATGCAAAATTTAGAACTATCAAGTATCAAACGAATACCTCATTACCTCAATCTCACACTATTGAATTATTGTCACCATTCATTATATTATATATTATATTTCCAAACCGTGTTTTTGGTTGAATGAACAGAAAACTTCACGTCCTTACTTCTCAGGTCTATCTTAAGCAATGATAGTGATAACATCATCACTGCCTTCCGCTCTCTAGCACAAATAACCATTGGTGAACTATCATGATTATTATGGTGCTCTCCCTGCCCATCTCCTTGTGACATTTATTCTCCTTTAGCCTCTATTCTTCTCCTTCAGCCTCTACTACTCACTCTACTGCCTCATCTTCTGGACGTCATTATCCTAAGTTTAGTTGAGGATTCTCAACACCCACTTTCAAGTTGAGTACTCTTGACCCACTTAGTCCATATGCCTTGCAAACTTACAGCACGTATTTGTAATGGTCTAAGTTCCTAATACTCGCCAAAGATGGATCCTCTAGTTGATCGTAGGTGAAGAGAAAGCGTCACAACAAACTAGGTGGCTGCATTTTGTTTTGATTTTATTAGGCTCTAGTATTTATCCCTATTGTCTTAAAGTTTTAAGAGAACTCTCCTTAAATCATTTTAATGTAGTCACTCAGATAAGTTTTATAGTTTTACCAGGACACTTCAACAAAGACACATACTCTGCCCACAATAAGGGGCCATAATTTTTTCAATTATGTAACTGTATAGAATTATTATTATTATTATCACTGCTCAGAATTGTGTAATGCCACTAACATGCAAAAGTATATTATCATGCTCAAGCTCCTTCTGATAAGGTTCTTGGAGTATTTAAACTACCCATGTATATTCATATAATTTCAAAGCTTTTACTCATTCGGGAGCTGCATGATGATCACGTGATTCACTTTGTCAACAGTTGCAGGATCTACTCCTCTTGGTATCGGCTGATCAACTCATTTACTGATTAGATTCTGGCACTCAGCTGCATGCTCTATTAGAGCCAATCAAGCACCCAATCAGGATATTTCACTTTCATTAAATTGCTCATAACACAACTTCTGTGACGCTTTAAAGCAAATGAAGTAGTTATCCATTATCCAAATTCAGCATTACATTCATATCTTCACTTTGGGAGCAAGAACAAGCTGATAGCATAGAAAATTTTCAAGATATCCCAGACAAATTGTTAAAAAGCATCATGAGGCTGCCACGCTCCACTCAAATAAACTTGAGGTCTTGAAAATATTTCTTAGATTCCGAAAGTCATACCATAAAGCTACTGTAAATATTAAATACCGTCACCTTTTTGGGTTATTAGTTGCATTGGGGATCTTTTTTGGACACCCTGGAGTTATATTCTTAGATTTTGACATGAATAAGTATCACTTTTCCTCCTTTCTGTTTACTACTAACTATCCCCTTAAGAGGAACAAATTAGATTTCAATCTGCTCTAAGCTCTTATGCCCAAGGTTTTAACTATAAAATCGTCTTTCTTATTCAGGTAGAGTTAATAACATTGAGCCGAGCCTCTGTAATGGGTCTAATCTTGTACCAGATTCAACGGTTTACAATTAGATTAAACCTTATAACATAATTTATCTCAGATGCATGATGTCACTTTATTCATAAAGCACTTAGATGTCAGCGTAGACGAAGACAATGCAAAAGACGTTATTGAAGATTTAATTGATGATACCTCTCTTGAACTAACCCGTGAACCAGAGTTCAAGGACAACAAATATGATACCACCAACAGTTTTGAGTATAAACTCACTTCTAAGTCATTTATCGACTATTATGTATTGGTTAAAAAATGGTGCAGTGAAAGGGACTTTGTTGGTTGGCTTAGAGTCACCAAAGATGATTCTGATGAGCCTTTGCATTATCGTGCACAGGTATATACCAGGGTTTCTGAGCTATCAATTGGAAACTTTATAGATCATAAGACCTATAGAAAACACATAAATCTTAAACCAAAACTCTGCAAAAGAATGATACTTGACTTTGAGCATGACATGAAAAAGGTAACATGCTATATTATAACCGATGATGAATGGTATAAACTTTTGTTCGAATACAGATCTGTGGAAGGTTTTGTTATAGGTGATATATTTCATGAAGACTTTTCGATGTATTTACCGATAAGAAATCCACCAAAAGTTTGGAGAGCTTTCAAGTCAGATGTTGAACATCAGAGAAAAAATACACTGAGGAATCATCCGGATAGCAAACTGTGGCCAGAAAGCAAGATTCAAGAAAACATCATCAAATACGTTCGTTGGTACCGTCATAATGCTGTTGGAGAATGCAACCCTGAAGAGTTTGGTCGCTGTTCAGTCTTTCAATTTTGTATCGGTAATCAAGATGATGATGATGATCAGATCACATTTTCCCATACACAAGTAATTGCAGGCTTTATAAAACACAGTTATGTAGCATATTTTTCACCGATTGAAGAGGAACCTGCCACGGCATTCAGGAGCAACACTGTGGAAAAGCTAGTGTCTGTTATACCGGATCAAATAAGCAATGCTAAAAATAGATTCTCTATTCGTTATGGATTACTGATGCTAGTGTCAAAAGGCACAAGGTTTACAGACAAATTTGATATGGGTGGCGAGGTATTCAAATCACTGAAAGACTTGATCATTGGCTTGAAGCACGAAGCTGATATTGAACCCTTGATAAAATCTTTTGATATACTGTGTCAAAAACTTGACAGAAGAAGGTTCATTGATATTCCTAACGAACTTAAAACTCTGTTTGAACAAGAAAAAATAAGGATGAACGACAGAGATTCTTTGGGCGAGAAGGCCTTGAAAATTAAGTTGTTTTCCATCAGAAGAATAGCAATAACTCCTGCCCGAATTTTATTTCAACCTCCAGAGTTGAATACGTCAAACAGGGTTATCAGAGAGTTCGATCATGACAATTTTGTGAGAGTAAGCTTCAGAGATGAGGACTTTGGGCCACTCAATCTTAATTGGGAGTACGATAAACATCACAATGCAAGCGATCCTATTATAAATTCTGTAAGTTATCAATATAGCTTAAATTTATGGTATCCTTTATGGTATCCTTATTACTAAATAATAATGTGATGATATTATGCTAAAGTGTATATATATACTTAATTCACCCTTCTTAAAACTCCTCCTTTTAGTTGATAAAGAGGATATCAGATTTGTTCCACAATGGAATACAGATAGGTGATAAGGGTCGTTGTTATCGCTTTCTTGGTTGTTCTAACTCTCAGTTAAGAAGTGCGGGTGCGTGGTTTGTTTCTGAGAGTGGCTCTAGATGTACAGGTAAACTGGATATCATTAACATTATTTTATTGCTTTTCTTTTATCTGATTAATCCACTATGTATTATTAGTATTACACAGCATATAGTCATAATTGGCAATCTTAATAAATTAGCTTGGTCTGTGTAACATGTAATCTAATGCCCCTAATTAATTAAATACTCTAATTTTCAGTGCAGAATATTCGGGACTGGATTGGTGATTTTAGCCATGAACGGTGTCTTGCTAAATATGTTGCACGATTGGGTCAAGCTTTCACCACAACAGAAAGTAGCCTTATCCAAGATGCAGAGGAAAATCTTATTGATGATATAGTAACCGAAGATGGAAAGTACACTTTCAGTGATGGTGTGGGGAAAATATCTAAACCAATTGCTGTAAAGGTATTATATGTTGGCTGATGCAACAACATTTTACCGAAGTTCTGCTTATAAATTTTACGAATTCAAGTATTGAAATGAACAGACATTTTCATTTTAATGTCAAAAGTTGACTATCAAGTGACTAACGAACCAACATTTGCTCATTATTATGCCTTATAAAGCCTTTTTAAGATAAAAGAAGACAGAGAAATGGAATACTTGCCGTCAGCATTCCAGATAAGGTATGGTGGCTGCAAGGGTATGGTAGCTTACGACCCTACTCTTGATGATTCTAGGAAAATCATTCAAGTAAGCGAGCTTCTTATTTTCTTGTGTGTTTTTTAAGAATTAGTGTTTTTGATGAATTCAATTATGATTTCACATACCTTGCCATTTGGCCCTGAACGGTTAAAAATGATCAATACCATTTATCAGATAAAATTTAAGTATCAATAAACAATACGGTAACTATTAATTAATAAACAAATTTTAGGTGAGGCCAAGTATGAAGAAGTTTGAAAGTAATCACAAGGATATTGAATACTGCAAAGCTAGCAAACCTAACCTTCTCTACATGAATAGACAGGTACTGTGAAACTGGCAAACCAAACCTACTCTACTACTCTAACTCAGCCATTGGTTTTCACTTTCTAACAGGGGCAAAAGGAAATCGCGGCATGTGCGGAATCGAGATTTTTCCCATTATTTGCGATTAAAAATCGCGGTATCGCGATTTTTGGGCAAAATAATCGCGATTTTCTTTTGTCCCTGCTTCTAACAAATGACAGAGATTTGATTGGTCGTATCAGAGAAATCTGACGTCTCTAACAACCACTATTATGTTAATTGATTAGTGACGTGTTATTAACTTGGGTGTTGTTTAAGTCCCTGTAATAATTGAGTATTTCAGCATGAGCTCATTTTCAAGTTTTGTTTCAAGGGCAGGTGGATCCTTATTAATTTAATGAGATGGTTGCAGGCATTTCTTTTCAGGTTATATGGTTGCTAAGAGGGTATCTAGTGCCTGAAATAGAGTTTATCAACCTACAGAACGATACTCTGCTCGGACTGGCTAACTCACTGATGGATCCTGAGGAGGCCTCTAGCAGTCTCATGGACTTCCAGGGTGATGGTATCTTCAAAAGAGTGTTAGATTCCGGGATTGACTTGACTCAGGAGCCCTTTCACCGTCTCCAGCTTCTCGCTCTCTACAGATTCCACGTTAAAGAGGTTTCAAATTAATCGAATTGCAAGAATATTTAATCATAATTGTATGTTGTGTTTATTTACACAAACACTTACTAAGTTTAAATCTCCTAACACTTTTGAGACTTAGCACAGCTACGTCAAGTGCGCTCAGTCGGGAAGTTTTTCATCGTTCAGTAAGGATTAAAGTCATGAAACCTGTTACAATAAAAACACAAAATATATTCGGTAGGATACTTTAAAATAAAATCATCCATCATGCGTATAATTACACATATCGTCATCATATAGCAAGGAAATCCATAAATCAAAATGTAATGACTAAACTCTATCAAGAAACGGTTCTAGTGAGAACCGGACAACATTCAATTTCGGAGTATATATTGTATATCCCTTTTTCTTGACATCTACTGAACTTCTGTCATTGAGAGAACCACCAGAATCTGCAAGGCACTAAGCACTAACGCAGTAAAGATAACAGGCAGTAGCGGTGCAAAGGATACCATGGCCGTCCCAACCACACCTCCAACTAATCCCATAGCCATAGCAACACAGGAGCCTAGAGCTAATCTGTCCGCTCCGAAGTAATTTATGTCGTAGAGTATGTAAGAATATGACATAGCACCGATCCCATACAAGAATTTGACGATGAAGTTGGTCGTAATGAATATTTCAAGATGATCTTGTGCAAGCATGCCTCCAAAGCTCGCCACGTTCAGTATGGCAACTATCACCTGCATTTTTCGGAAACTGATATTTTCTCTGGTGAAGTGCACGAATAACCGTCCGAGGATAGCTGCGGATGTGACAAGAGCCAGTAGCAGGAGTTCCGGTCCTTGAGTCACCGTCACAGAGCAGTCGGTGTTTGGTAAGGCCTCCTTGATCTTTAAGGTCTGGATCAACCTTGGAACGAGGAGAATAGTAAGCCAGCCCTGGAACGTGTTAATTCCTGCGAAAATTCCTAGTTTTGAAGTTCTGGTAACAAAAGTTGGAATAGTCATTGTTTCTTCCTCCATGACTTTTTGGTTTTGTTCGTTCCCTTTATGTCCCGTTTCCGCTCCTGAATTTTCTGCAAAACATAAGTGGAGCATAAAAATTGGTGGTATGAAGAAAGGCAATGACGTCAGAAGAATAAATAACCTCCATCCTACTACGTCTAACAGCAGGTATCCCAGAAAAGCCAACCAGACTCCTCCGACACTGTACATTATGCACGAAATCATCACTATCTCGTCAAGAATGGTCTTATTGGAGACCTGCTCAGCGATCATGATGCAATGGACTGAATAATTAAGTCCAACACAGAACCCGATGAGAGCTCTAGAAAGGAGAAGCGTGGTGTAGTTACCTACTATAGCACAGGCAAGTGTGCTGATAACGCTCAGATAAAGGGAAAACAGGGTCAACGCTTGACACCCAAACCTGCAAAATCAAATTTTAGTAAAACTAGTAGTGCAGTAGTAGGGTTCGCCCGAGACTTCGCTGCAATGGACAGCTTCTCATTTAACCCTCACACACGATTTCTCGAATATTCGGCTGAGTAGACCGGGGGGCTGCATAGACCACTCAGGATCTTTAGCTGAATGTCGACGACACTCACCCCACGACTAGGCAGGCAGTGGGTTTCGAACTCGCAATCTCACGATTACAAATCCGATGATTAACCAACTACGCTACCTGGCCGTTTAAGAAATTAACTTTTTTATATTAGCAAACCTGCGGGCCAATATTCCTGAGATAACAACAGCGACAGCTAAAGTGAAGTACTGTATGCAGTCCAGTATTGATTCCTTCCATGGAGAAAGTTCGATTTCGCACGATACTTGTTGTGTTATCACTCCTGTATAAGGGCTTTTTTAGTTTTTGGCGATCATTTTTTGATTCATCAGCTTTAACACTAATACAATTTTAGTGAAATGCATTTTGTGATCCCCTGAGAGACAAAGCTTTTCGAAGACTAATGAAATTGTTTTATATGAATTTCGACTTATCCAGCAAGTGATCTGGAATGTATTGTATTGGACGAACCGGGCAAATAGGTTTCCACTCCATCTCCAAGATTAACGACGACACCAAATACTAACAGAAGCTTATCCTTTGTTGTCCAATACTTTTCTCGTTCGACTAATACGTCAGTTTCATCTCCACTGTCATGTTCGAGCTCGAGGTCAGGACTGATCATCTAGTTCCAAATACATACCTTATCGGACTTTATTCAAACGGAAATTAATTGGACGCTGGAGGCCCTAGCGTTTATTTAAATGTCCGTTCAAATAAAGTCCGACAAGGGTAGTTAAATTAAATACATTAGATGAATACCTTTGAGGGTTCATTTTACTGTCCGTTCCCGCAATGTCGGGTCAAATAACGTCCGACGCACTTCTTGGCGTCGATAACTACTAGAAGTCAAAATCAGATAAAACGGCAACTGTCATCATGCTAGAAACTTCTTAGAGAGTTAAAGACAGGGGTGTAGGAAGAGGGGGGGGGGGGGGGGGGGTGACCGCCCCTCATAAAATCTTGGCAAGGGGCGGAAAGTGACCAACATTTTTAGGCTCATTTGGCCAATCCACCATTGCATTATCCAAATTGCCTTACTGCTAAAGACAAAGTGTAGTCCAAATTTACATTCCCTATTTCTAGAATTCCTTCCTTTAAGCAAATTGTCCAAAAAATTGCAGATTCTCCCTCTTTGCAATTTCATTAACAATAAAACTTTTCTAATTAGAACCTCGGTGAACTGAACTCTGTTGACCAACTGTTTAAATCAGTCGCATACTGATTTTTCCTGCCTACACCCGTCAGCATTTCTATACGAAAAAATTACGTACTGATCAACTCAAAACGTGAAAAATCGAAAATAAGTTCATAATTTAGTTATAAATTGGGAATGATATGGTTTATTAAGTATAACTGTGGTCAGTTTACTACCGCCCTCATCAGATACGAATTTCAAATGTAGCAGTGCGGGGGGGGGGGGGGGAGGGGGGGGGGGGGGGGGGGGGGGTAATTAGAGGAGTAATTAGTCCTAAGACCCACTATTTAGTACCGTGTACTTACTGTTTTTGGGAAATGGGCAAATTATACCCACTATTTAGCGCCATGTACTGACTGTTTTTCTGGGAAATGAGCAGCAGACCCACCACTTAGTACACAAGACGTAGTAACTGCGTTTTGGAAGAAAATATGACCCACCCACCACTTAGTACACAAGTAGTCATTTTTTGCCTCGACTGTGCCCCAAGTGTGCCCCAACTGTATTTGCCCCAAATATGTCCCAAGTAACTTTTTGCCCCAAGTATGCCCCAGGAAATTCAATTTTGTGCCCAAAGTGTGCCCAAAGACGTGTGCCTAGCAAGATTACCAAATTGCATACTGTGGCATTTCAACTGCGATAGTGAAGTCCCGGCAGTAGGCACGGGTTACACTAGTAATTTAAATAAAACAGGCGTAAATAACTTTACGAGAGGAGGTGGTCATGGTTTAATGAACAATGGAATTAACAATGCTCAAGTTAATTAGGTAAAACAAACCATGTGATTTGGTGAATCCACTAATTGAGTCTTGCACGTTATTTCATGTTGTTTAGTTCGGGGTATCGGGGCAGTTGTCGGGGATCGGGGAAGTTGAGAATTGCCCCCCCCGGCCCCCCCCCCCCCCCCATTACAGCATGGTACTTTTAACAGTAAATAAGTATTACTTAAAGTATAGTACGTTGACATGGAGTGGCGCTTAGGGTTACTGATAAGGAGATAAGCACTTCTGGCTACCCCAAAACTGGGAGTAACCTACTCTTCTTATCTGATAAAGATATCGTTTTATGCGACAAAGTTTATCTAGAGGATGAAACGATTATCCTAGGCATAGAGGGTTTATATAGTTTCATAGTGTGACATATTTTACATCATCGTGCCATTCAGTAGGGTCACTTAAATTTACCAATATCCTCAAACTTCAATGAACGTGTCCTTAAGTAAACTATTAACTAAACACACTTGGGGCACACTTGGGGCACAAAGTTACTTGGGGTAAATACAAGTTTGCCTCAAGTTACTTGCTTTAAGTCATTTTTTGCCTCGACTGTGCCCCAAGTGTGCCCCAACTGTATTTGCCCCAAATATGTCCCAAGTAACTTTTTGCCCCAAGTATGCCACAGGAAATTCAATTCTGTGCCCAAAGTGTGCCCAAAGACGTGTGCCTAGCAAGATTACCAAATTGCATACTTTGGCATTTCAACTGCGATAGTGAAGTCCCGGCAGTAGGCACGGGTTACACTAGTAATTTAAATAAAACAGGCGTAAATAACTTTACGAGAGGAGGTGGTCATGGTTTAATGAGCAATGGAATTAACAATGCTCAAGTTAAAGAGTTAATTAGGTAAAACAAACCATGTGATTTGGTGAATCCACTAATTGAGTCTCGCACGTTATTTCATGTTGTTCGGGGTATCGGGGCAGTTGAGAATGCCCCCCCCCCCCCCATTACTGCATGGTACTTTTAACAGTAAATAAGTATTACTTAAGGCTGGGGGTTCACCCTGAATTTTTTGTGAAACTTGGTTTCGAGATAGCAGTTGACCAACAAACTAGGACCGGTGACCGAACTTTTGAGGGGGTCCCGGACCCCAACCGCCAAACGGTGCCCGCGGGGCAGCCACGCCCATATTTGGTCCAAATTAGGCCCAATTTAGCCAAATACCCTGAACATGCCCAAAACCCAGATTTTAGGTGCTCTACTTGTAGCTAGTGGTCCCCTGAACTCGTATATGAATTTTCATCAAGATTGGACAAAAAATGACTGAGTTATGAGCCAAAAACCATATGACCATATTTGGGCATACGCACCAAATTTGATCGATTTTGGCCCATAAATTGGTCAAATATCAATATTTTTGAATGAAACCAACTTTATATGGAATATAAGCCTATACTACAGATTCTCTATGATTATCAGCTCAATATCTACCTAACTGTGGATTCTGTGTTCAAATAGTTGCAAAAAATGAACAAAATCGCCCATATCTCAGTTCGCGATATTTGCAAAACTGACTTCGCTCAAAACAATAGAACTCAATAGGGTTTCAATATTTTTTCATGAAATTTTCAGAATCAACGTAGAATCGCCTCATGACCTTAAGTTTTGTATTAGAATTTTGAGTTAGGCCTTTAAAAAAATTTGGCGGCCAAATTCTGAAATTTGCCGGGCATTTTTCAGAATTTGGCCGCCAAATTTTTTTAAAGGCCTAACTCAAAATTCTAATACAAAACTTAAGGTCATGAGGCGATTCTACGTCGATTCTGAAAATTTCATGAAAAAATATTGAAACCCTATTGAGTTCTATTGTTTTGAGCGAAGTCAGTTTTGCAAATATCGCGAACTGAGATATGGGCGATTTTGTTCATTTTTTGCAACTATTTGAACACAGAATCCACAGTTAGATAGATATTGAGCTGATAATCATAGAGAATCTGTAGTATAGGCTTATCTTCCATATAAAGTTGGTTTCATTCAAAAATATTGATATTTGACCAATTTATGGGCCAAAATCGATCAAATTTGGTGCGTATGCCCAAATATGGTCATATGGTTTTTGGCTCATAACTCAGTCATTTTTTGTCCAATCTTGATGAAAATTCATATACGAGTTCAGGGGACCACTAGCTACAAGTAGAGCACCTAAAATCTGGGTTTTGGGCATGTTCAGGGTATTTGGCTAAATTGGGCCTTATTTGGACCAAATATGGGCGTGGCTGCCCCGCGGGCACCGTTTGGCGGTTGGGGTCCGGGACCCCCTCAAAAGTTCGGTCACCGGTCCTAGTTTGTTGGTCAACTGCTATCTCGAAACCAAGTTTCACAAAAAATTCAGGGTGAACCCCCAGCCTTAAAGTATAGTGCGTTGACATGGAGTGGCGCTTAGGGTTACTGAAAAGGAGATAAGCACCTCCGGCTACCCTAAAACTGAGAGTAACCTACTCTTCTTATCTGATAAAGATATCGTTATGCGACAAAGTTTATCTAGAGGATGAAACGATTATCCTGGGCTTAACTGGGTTTATATAATTTCATAGTGTGACACATTTCACATCTTCGTGCCATGCAGTAGGGCCATTAATATTTACCAATATCCTCAAACTTCAATGAACGTTCACTGTCCATATAGTACTATTATAATAGGGTACTATAATTAGTACTATTATAGGGTCACTAGGGCGAAGTTTGTTGACATATCAACATTAATATTATTGTGCTTCCAACTAATTATATCCATTCCATTGGTCTCGACGTGATGAGGGACAGTCTACACGTCTTAGAGTAAATTTATACTGACAGCTTCAAAAGTTCGAACTGGAATATTGAACAATTGAGTTGTGGGTATGGGAGCATTCACATATTATGACGTCAGCAGCCGAGGGTAAAGGGCGCCATCAATTATTTAATTCAGAATATCTCGCAAAACAACTTTGCGCAGGCTAGTTAGGAACGTGGGCGACATTGATATTGGCGCACGGGCAAGTACGCAGGTAGGCAGGCACGCACGACGGTTGCAAAGCTACCATGTACAAACAAAATCTCGTTCGCCAACCCTTGTCCTTGACTCTTTTGTACCTTTGGCACTTTTAGTCATGGATCGGAAAAAAATAGATAATGGGATTTTTCAAGATACTATAAAAAACTTCACTATCAAAGTATTCTCATAATAACTCTATATAACCAGGTCCTGGACCGGACGAGAATAAAGATGCCGGCAGAGATAGGACGTCAAATGCTGGGAGTGATGGACGAGACTGGGACTTTAGAGTATGGGGAGGTGTTTGTGCAATACTCCCCCGTAATAGCCGCACCAGGGGTAAACTCTTTACTGTTTTCAAAAACTATTTGCAGCGGCTATTACCCTCTGTTTTTAATACTTCTTTTAATACTTCTTTACGTTTTAGGATTAAATATTAACATTGATGATGAATATCTAAAATATATGGCTAAAATGAGTATTTTAATAACAATATTAATTCAATCCTAAAATGTGCCATATAATAATATTAAAACCGATTATTAAAACCGTAATATTAAAACCGTTATATAGATGTACTTAACAAACTTCTAATCGGCCATGTAAGCCGGAAAATGTGTTGCCGTAAAAGATAAGCAATGTTATCACTCAGAATCAACCCAGTTACAATACCTTAAATTATGGGGAGAACAGATTTAAATAGTCATTCCATCACAACCTAATGATACTAACAACCATATTGTCCAGCATGATTTGACAATACTAAAGGGGAAGCTGTTCATAACAAAGAATCCTTGTGTCCACCCTGGAGATTTGAAATCCTTCACAGCGCGAGATGTTCCTGCGTTACATCACATGTTTGATGTGGTGGTGTTTCCTAACAAAGGGGAACGTCCTCATCCCAGCGAACTCTCTGGTTGGTCGTGGTGTGAAACCACTGTATAATAGTTGAAATGTCTGGACGTTTATTCAAAATGTAACCCCCTTCTATCCAGTCTATTAAAAGTACACAGTGGTGATTTTAAGATTTTTTCCTTTAAACAATATTTCCATTTTCCAGGTTCGGATCTAGATGGAGACGAATATTTTGTGTGTTGGTCGGAGAATTTGCGCCCAAGGATCAAAAATAAAACGCCAGGGAATTACGAGGCTGCTAAAACGCAATTAGAACCTAATGCGATCACCTCAGTTCAGCTCACCAACCAAGTCGTTAAACATATCACCAAACCTAACAACCTTGGTTTGTGACAAGTACTTATGATTTTATATTATGTAATAGAGAGATACAAGTGATTATTTGAGGGGGAGAATTATAGTATATAAGAATTATAGTATATAATTATAGTACTCTAGCGACATAATATAATAGAAATAGCATTATAAAATATTGTTATAATTGGAAGACGCCCAAAAGTAATAGATAGATCTGTCCAGCATGTTTTATAAATCGCCGGTTTGCGAGCCTTCAATCAATAGAGGACTGCAGTTTACCATAAGTAATAGGCATATATCGTATCCGTACTGAAAAAAAACCTCAAAACATAATTTAGTTTAAACCAGGAAAGATAAGTAATGCACACTCTGTACATTGCGACCTGGGATCTGTTGACGACGAGAAGCCTATCAGACTCGCAAAGGAACATAGCATTGCTGTGGACTACCCAAAAACTGGTTGGTATCTGATATTTACTTTTGGTCACATAGCATTGCTGTGGACTACCCAAAAACTGGTTGGTATCTGATATTTACTTTTGGTCACATAGCATTGCTGTGGACTACCCAAAAACTGGTTGGTATCTGATATTTACTTTTGGTCACGTGTTAGCTGGTTTGCAGATTATTATATTTTATGACACTCGACGGGCACCAACTAATAAGTTTCTAAAATTAATCTTACAATTATTTTCATCTGATAATCTCATTGCTAATAATAATTTGTATTTTTCTGACCAACATTTCCACGTTTTGCAGGTGTAGCAGAGAACTTTGAGAGGGACCTGAGAGTATACGAGTATCCTGACTGGATGGAGAAACCTGACAAACCCTGTTACAAGTCAACCAGTGTTATTGGGAGCTGTTACCGGATATGTCGCTCTCTTGCTGCTGTAAGTGTTGGTTTCTTTACATTTTAAAATTATCATTATCTCGTTAAGTTGATGTAGTTTATACTTTTACTATTACATTCCATGCGGTGTTGGGTCCAATTTTAAGTAAAAATATTGATGAGATAAAACATGTCCCTCCCATTAGTTCGTACCTAAACCACCACTCACCCAGGTCCTAGGAGAGCAGGATATGTTAACAGACATGTCAGGAATAGTACCGCAACAAATAACCACCACTCACCCAGGTCCTAGGAGAGCAGGATATGTTAACAGACATGTCAGGAATAGTACCGCAACAAATAACCACCACTCACCCAGGTCCTAGGAGAGCAGGATATGTTAACAGACATGTCAGGAATAGTACCGCAACAAATAACCACCACTCACCCAGGTCCTAGGAGAGCAGGATATGTTAACAGACATGTCAGGAATAGTACCGCAACAAATAACCACCACTCACCCAGGTGCTAGGAGAGCAGGATATGTTAACAGACATGTCAGGAATAGTACCGCAACAAATAACCACCACTCACCCAGGTCCTAGGAGAGCAGGATATGTTAACAGACATGTCAGGAATAGTACCGCAACAAATAACCACCACTCACCCAGGTCCTAGGAGAGCAGGATATGTTAACAGACATGTCAGGAATAGTACCGCAACAAATAACCACCACTCACCCAGGTCCTAGGAGAGCAGGATATGTTAACAGACATGTCAGGAATAGTACCGCAACAAATAACCACCACTCACCCAGGTCCTAGGAGAGCAGGATATGTTAACAGACATGTCAGGAATAGTACCGCAACAAATAACCACCACTCACCCAGGTCCTAGGAGAGCAGGATATGTTAACAGACATGTCAGGAATAGTACCGCAACAAATAACCACCACTCACCCAGGTGCTAGGAGAGCAGGATATGTTAACAGACATGTCAGGAATAGTACCGCAACAAATAACCACCACTCACCCAGGTGCTAGGAGAGCAGGATATGTTAACAGACATGTCAGGAATAGTACCGCAACAAATAACCACCACTCACCCAGGTCCTAGGAGAGCAGGATATGTTAACAGACATGTCAGGAATAGTACCGCAACAAATAACCACCACTCACCCAGGTCCTAGGAGAGCAGGATATGTTAACAGACATGTCAGGAATAGTACCGCAACAAATAACCACCACTCACCCAGGTCCTAGGAGAGCAGGATATGTTAACAGACATGTCAGGAATAGTACCGCAACAAATAACCACCACTCACCCAGGTCCTAGGAGAGCAGGATATGTTAACAGACATGTCAGGAATAGTACCGCAACAAATAACCACCACTCACCCAGGTCCTAGGAGAGCAGGATATGTTAACAGACATGTCAGGAATAGTACCGCAACAAATAACCACCACTCACCCAGGTCCTAGGAGAGCAGGATATGTTAACAGACATGTCAGGAATAGTACCGCAACAAATAACCACCACTCACCCAGGTCCTAGGAGAGCAGGATATGTTAACAGACATGTCAGGAATAGTACCGCAACAAATAACCACCACTCACCCAGGTCCTAGGAGAGCAGGATATGTTAACAGACATGTCAGGAATAGTACCGCAACAAATAACCACCACTCACCCAGGTGCTAGGAGAGCAGGATATGTTAACAGACATGTCAGGAATAGTACCGCAACAAATAACCACCACTCACCCAGGGTCCTAGGAGAGCAGGATATGTTAACAGACATGTCAGGAATAGTACCGCAACAAATAACCACCACTCACCCAGGTCCTAGGAGAGCAGGATATGTTAACAGACATGTCAGGAATAGTACCGCAACAAATAACCACCACTCACCCAGGTCCTAGGAGAGCAGGATATGTTAACAGACATGTCAGGAATAGTACCGCAACAAATAACCACCACTCACCCAGGTCCTAGGAGAGCAGGATATGTTAACAGACATGTCAGGAATAGTACCGCAACAAATAACCACCACTCACCCAGGTCCTAGGAGAGCAGGATATGTTAACAGACATGTCAGGAATAGTACCGCAACAAATAACCACCACTCACCCAGGTCCTAGGAGAGCAGGATATGTTAACAGACATGTCAGGAATAGTACCGCAACAAATAACCACCACTCACCCAGGTCCTAGGAGAGCAGGATATGTTAACAGACATGTCAGGAATAGTACCGCAACAAATAACCACCACTCACCCAGGTCCTAGGAGAGCAGGATATGTTAACAGACATGTCAGGAATAGTACCGCAACAAATAACCACCACTCACCCAGGTCCTAGGAGAGCAGGATATGTTAACAGACATGTCAGGAATAGTACCGCAACAAATAACCACCACTCACCCAGGTCCTAGGAGAGCAGGATATGTTAACAGACATGTCAGGAATAGTACCGCAACAAATAACCACCACTCACCCAGGTCCTAGGAGAGCAGGATATGTTAACAGACATGTCAGGAATAGTACCGCAACAAATAACCACCACTCACCCAGGTCCTAGGAGAGCAGGATATGTTAACAGACATGTCAGGAATAGTACCGCAACAAATAACCACCACTCACCCAGGTGCTAGGAGAGCAGGATATGTTAACAGACATGTCAGGAATAGTACCGCAACAAATAACCACCACTCACCCAGGTCCTAGGAGAGCAGGATATGTTAACAGACATGTCAGGAATAGTACCGCAACAAATAACCACCACTCACCCAGGTGCTAGGGGAGCAGGATATGTTAACAGACATGTCAGGAATAGTACCGCAACAAATAACCACCACTCACCCAGGTCCTAGGAGAGCAGGATATGTTAACAGACATGTCAGGAATAGTACCGCAACAAATAACCACCACTCACCCAGGTCCTAGGAGAGCAGGATATGTTAACAGACATGTCAGGAATAGTACCGCAACAAATAACCACCACTCACCCAGGTCCTAGGAGAGCAGGATATGTTAACAGACATGTCAGGAATAGTACCGCAACAAATAACCACCACTCACCCAGGTCCTAGGAGAGCAGGATATGTTAACAGACATGTCAGGAATAGTACCGCAACAAATAACCACCACTCACCCAGGTCCTAGGAGAGCAGGATATGTTAACAGACATGTCAGGAATAGTACCGCAACAAATAACCACCACTCACCCAGGTCCTAGGAGAGCAGGATATGTTAACAGACATGTCAGGAATAGTACCGCAACAAATAACCACCACTCACCCAGGTGCTAGGAGAGCAGGATATGTTAACAGACATGTCAGGAATAGTACCGCAACAAATAACCACCACTCACCCAGGTCCTAGGAGAGCAGGATATGTTAACAGACATGTCAGGAATAGTACCGCAACAAATAACCACCACTCACCCAGGTCCTAGGAGAGCAGGATATGTTAACAGACATGTCAGGAATAGTACCGCAACAAATAACCACCACTCACCCAGGTCCTAGGAGAGCAGGATATGTTAACAGACATGTCAGGAATAGTACCGCAACAAATAACCACCACTCACCCAGGTCCTAGGAGAGCAGGATATGTTAACAGACATGTCAGGAATAGTACCGCAACAAATGTTCCTACACCCCGGACTACAACAGTACCTGGAGGAAGGTATCATGTTTTGTAAGGAGTATAACCGGGAACTGGCATCTCTAATGAACCAGTATGGGATAGAGAATGAGGGGGATATTGCTTGTGGCTGTCTTAACACTGTTAGTAGATCAGTAGCTTGAGTAAGGCTTCCAACTTATATTGTGCAGTTTGAAAATTCAGATAATTAACTGGCTTGAAATTTAGATTTAATCTCATAATCAATGAAATTTACCTTGAAAATCGATCTGTGATTCCTGACCATCAATAAAATTGCCATTAAATATATGTCTCATCTTGGAAGATGACAACTGAGAACAGGTTTACCTCAGGTGAAGTTGAGTATAGAGAGGGACAAGAAGAAGAACTATGATATAACAGAGGAGTGTGTTAGGTTCTACCGTACCTTACAAGCCAAGTTTCAGAGCAGGTTCTTCGCTCAGTTCGATACTCAGAAAGGAGAGTGGATGGAGGTACTTGGTTTCAGTAAAATTGGGATTTTCGTTTTTACACAAAGTTAACTATACATTAGTAGTCAATATTTGTAACCGTAGTATCGTAGGGAAACTAACATTAGTTTAAAAAATCTTTACTAAAGAAGGTGGTCGATGGGAATTGGGATTGGGGATCTGTGATATTGAGACTTAACCGGAAATGCCCCATTCAGAAGCCGGAAGTAGCAAAGGAATGCTACAAGAAAGCAGCAGCATGGTATATAGCTGCTTACAAGTACATCACGGAGGGCTCCATCAAGCTGCTCTCATTTCCTTGGTGTGTCAGTGAGGTGGGTACTGACTACTGAGTACTACTTACAAAGTAGTTTGCGTGTTTAATGGACTTTTGGGCGCATTGACATGATTTTAGTCCCATATAAACTATTAAGCGATTTTTTGTTGTCTTTTTTTTCCCGAATATTCATTATTAAACTCACTTTTAATTCGAAACACTTTCCAGGTTCTGTGTGAGTTGGTGAAAGCTCGTAAGAAAAGTGGGGCAGACCTTCAAGATCAGTTTAAACAGCCGTCATGTACTAACCTCATGATCACGAACATGACTAAATGGTTCACTTCTCATCTTGCAGAATTGGTACTTATAAAGCAATGAAAGGCATTAGTTTGGTCAAATCAAACGGAACATATGCTATCAGACTTTCAACTGACTAAGGCAGTAATCAGTAACTACACAGTTATAAAATTACAATGCTACTTAAGTTTGTGGTCTTGAGGTTCAAAGAATGACCATCTCAAAAACATAAATACAGCTTCGATTTATCATAATAAAGAAGCAGGAATCATCAATTTGAAAATTAAAAGCATCTGCTCTGGAAATTCTATGATAGCCCATAACCTACTGATACAAATATTTCTATAATATAATTCAACAGAGAGAATCCCCGCCTGATGCCTATAAAGAAGCGATGGAAAGAATGGAAAGCTTCACGGAGCAATACAAGCTTCAGAAACTAGGTAAAAAACTAAATTAGTAAAGATTAATTTTCTACTCTCCTTAGTTCAATTTTCCAACGCTCTAGTTGTTACAAACACAGAAATTCTGTCGATACTGTGAAATTGTGGTCCAGGAAAATTCATATTTGAAAATGTACTACAAATGGTACTAGTAGGCGATCTCGGTCTTTAGATAAAACTTTTCAGATGGGGCTTGTTGTGGTTTACCTTTCAACCCTAACCTGCTGATGTACTACTGTAACACTGAGGATACAGCTCCTCTCAGCAAACTTCAGCAAGAAATGTTTGAAAAATATCCAGGTTGGTTTCTTGACGGTCAGATTTCTCAGTTTCTTTCCTGAAGAAATTCGTGTGAAATGTTCGTACCTACTTACTCAAGATGGTATCCTTCCCAAGCTACTGCCAGTAAATCAGATTAACCCTCTGTACTCCCTCCCAGGCTGGGATAAGAGTTACCTGCACGCGGTGGGGATGACGGAGATTTACCTCTCTCTGCGCTACACTCCTAATATATGCGTCTTCTTTGGAACTGACTCCATCAAACGGGTAGGTCTCACAACTAGTCACTAGAGGTTTTACAATTAAATTAAATGATTCAAATTATAAGTAAAGTTACGAGCGGGCATCGAGCTTTTACTAAATTTACCGAGCGCGAGATCTAATCATATGTAACCCACCACAGTTGTACACAATAAGACGGTACCTGGCACAGTACCCCCACCTTCAAGTACCCTCCGCTGTGATAGTTAAGTGGGTTCAGTCCAACTCTCTGGAGAATGAGCTCCACGTGCTGGCAGCTGATTTTGTCCTGCTCTTCATCATGGTACTCGTCATGGTAAGTAGATGTAGGCACGTGTTTCTTATTAAACTGGTTTATAACACGATTTGTTTGTTTCTTTTTCTGGTTAGAATCGGGTAACTGTAAGTGTAGGGACCAAGTTGTCATGGTATTCGTGTGTTCAGTTCGTGTACGAACTTGTCAATTCGGATGAGGAAAATTTTATGATTCAATAATTTTCGATGGGACTCAGACACTTTTATGTGAGCTGTGTTCTGAAATACTCCACATTACAACCAGGAGCGAACAATAGACCCTATCAAGATAGACTACCCAGTAAAACAGTCCGCTAGAGAGCGTTATATGGCGGAGCTGACTACACCAGTACCTCTTACTGAACACGAACACTCTGACTCTGCTAAACTTTACTTCGGCTTCCTTAAGAGCATCATTTATTGTAAAGCTAGCGAGGATTTGTTACCGTTCCCGTGGATACCACCAGCTTTGAAGGAGCTCAATATGACTATCTGCAGCATCCTCAGTTCACACAGGTAATTCTTATTTTTGGAAGATGGTAAATTTGCTTTTAAATGAAGGTGTGGTGTACAACAAAAATGCGTTGCTTTGCTATGTTAAGTATCAAAACGAGGTGAGATTTTTAATAATATTCTATTGTTGTTTAACAGGGTAGTGGTTGTACAATGTACCTACAAGCAAAAATTAATAAAAGTTCATACTATAATGCAGAAGTTTTAGCCTAATTAAAATGGTCAATATCACCCAGATATATCCCTATTCTCGTTCAATTTGAATTAAAAAAAAACTTAAATAAAAATTTAAACAATCTTTAGATAAAAATCCTTAATTTGAAAATTTAAAAAGCCTATAAAATATAATTTAAAAGTTTGTTTGTATAAATATTATTCGTCCACCCGGTTTGTTACATGTAATGCAGCGGTAAAGACAAATTCGACAACAGTAATACATTCTGCGTTCAATATGAATTAACAATATATTATATATACTTTCGTTCAATAGTAAAACCTCATAACGATGAATCAATCATAAATCATAGAATCCTGATTTCGAATGACATCATTTGTGCCTTTGGTAACGAAGACCTGAAGAATAAACTTGATTCTGATTTCTTGTACTCGGAGATTTACACGGTCCTGAGTGCTACACGTGAAACAGTAATAAGAAGAGATAGGAAGAGAGGCTGGACACACTGAGTGCTACACGTGAAACAGTAATAAGAAGAGATAGGAAGAGAGGCGGGACACACTGAGTGCTACACGTGAAACAGTGATAAGAAGAGATAGGAAGAGAGGCTGGACAGTGCTACACGTGAAACAGTAATAAGAAGAGATAGGAAGAGAGGCTGGCCACACTGATCACAGCTTCTTTTAAACACGTGATTCTATCACGTGTTCAGCATTACCAGCAACATTGTACAAATCCTCATGGCCCTCGATATCCTCGTAAGCGGGAGGTAACTTTTCTAATAAATCGTCCCCGTAGGACGGGGGACCTTGCTCCTCTGTAGTGGGGAGGCTAATGTAATTACTGTCTGATACTATCCTATGTGAACCTTCCAAACATTCACTGTACGTTGGTATGCTTGGAGTCCTGAGCCATGTTGGGTCGGTAGGTCGAGGAACTTGTGAGACTGATGGTAGTGGAGGATTACTTGCGGAGTCCGTTACTACGTCAGTTCCGCAGTGGCCATTTCTTCTTAATGCCCATATAAAGACGATTATAGCCAGGAAGAGTATGACAAATATGATGATTGCTATCAGCATTTCCCCAAACTTTTTACTCTCTGGAAATATTTGTTTCTCAGCTACAGTCGAAATTTATATTTTGTGGCTTTTTTCTAGCTACCAGAAAATCCTAATAATTTCATCATCCGAGAATTTTGAAACAACTTAAAAAAGTAAGATTATTAAACAATTTACTGTTAGGTCAGTAACGCAATTTTCGCTTAAGATTTGAATAATATTTCTAAGAAAATACCTAATGCACAATCATAAGGGGTCCCGACAATCTTCAAACCCTTACTCCATTTTTCGTAATTCCATGCTTCGTTAGCATTGGAACGGAAAGACTTTGTGAACCGATCTTCAGTGAACCAGCCACATGTCACCATGGTGTGTTGTCCTATGTTTAGGTCATACGAGTGTTGGTTACACTGTATAAACCGCACCCTGGCAAGTAAATGTAATTAATCAATTCTAATTGTTCTGAGGTTATTCTGAATTCCCTTACCAAAAAAAAGAAGTTGCTCTATTACTCCTAGTCGACTTTAATAAAGCTTTTGACGTTTTGTCTCACGATGTACTGATTGACAAACTCCAGCACTATGGAATCCGTGGGCAAGCTTTGCAATGGTTTAAATCCTACCTGAGCACACGTCAGCAATATGCATATTTAAATGGTATTAAATCAGCTCTTAAACCTATTACATACGGAGTTCTACAGGGCAGTATTATGGGACCTTTAAAAAAAAGTTATATTTATTTATGTAGTGTAAGGAAAGCTGCAATTTATTTAATCTATATTATGACGTAACGGATAGTAAAATCGATGATTATTATTAATCTTCACACGCACATTTTTTCGGTAACCAACAATCAAAATGAGATAACGTAACTGTACTGACCAGTGACCAAACTTACATTGGATAACGAATCCTTTTATCATTGTCACTGAAATGCCACCGTATATCATCGGTGTCCTTTCCCGTGCCTGGTATTATACAGGAACAGTTGACGATACCATAGCCGTCCTTGTGAGCGTACTTTCCCGAGCTAACCTCCGTTTTTATCTGAAGATTAAATTAAATTGTCCTAATTATATAAATACATAAATACGTCTCAGGACTGTCCGTTAATAACTCACCCAACACTGTCCAGAAGAACAGTAGTGAGCACTCTCTCTCTCTCTCTCTCTCTCTCTCTCTCTCTCTCTCTCTCTCTCTCTCTCTCCCTCCCTCCCTCCCTCCCTCCCTCCCTCCCTCCCTCCCTCCCTCCCTCCCTCCCTCCCTCCCTCCCTCCCTCCCTCCCTCCCTCCCTCCCTCCCTCCCTCCCTCCCTCCCTCCCTCCCTCCCTCCCTCCCTCCCTCCCTCCCTCCCTCCCTCCCTCCCTCCCTCCCTCCCTACCTCCCTCCCTCCCTCCCTCCCTCCCTCCCTCCCTCCCTCCCTCCCTCCCTCCCTCCCTCCCTCCCTCCCTCCCTCCCTCGCTCCCTCCCTCCCTCCCTCCCTCCTCCCTCCCTCCCTCCCTCCCTCCCTCCCTCCCTCGCTCGCTCGCTCGCTCGCTCGCTCGCTCTCTCTCTCTCTCTCTCTCTCTCTCTCTCTCTCTCTCTCTCTCTCTCTCTCTCTCTCTCTCTCTCTCTCTCTCTCTCTCTCTCTCTCTCTCTCTCTCTCTCTCTCTCTCTCTCTCTCTCTCTCTCTCCGTTAATAACTCACCCAACACTGGCCAGAGGAACAGTAGTGAGTACCAGGGCGACACATTTCCGGCTGATTAGCTGTGTTTGTAACCCAGGGATCCTTTGTAAAGATCTTCCATCTTAAAGTAAAGATAATGATTATAATATAGTGAACCCTTGGCGAGAGTTAAAAGGTACGTTAAAAATGTCACCAGCAGAATGCATGAGAACAAACGGATTGAAATGACAAATTTAATTTAATTAAAAATAACTTTCAACAGAATGTATTACATCCTGGGCCACAAATTTACCCTTTCTAGGACCACATGTACATCTAGTATGTGAGTTAGTGCGGCGCCATCTAAGACTCTATTTGGTTTAAAGTTTAAACTGTACCTTTGAACTGGTTGGGTTGTGTAGAGTGCTGTTTGTGTTTCAGCAGATCTTTCAGCTCTGTTACCTGGTAATGGTGTTTGAGTCGTAAGATGAGAGTGATATTTGATGGTCACAACAGGCTGTGGTGATAACTTAAGGGTCTATCAAGGTTTGGGGATGTGAATTGTGCATCTTTTATTATTCAATCTCCACCATTGAAGGATGGCGAAACTGGCAAGAACGACGAGAATTGTTTTTTTTTCACATGGGAAGATGGCGATTATCGTTAGCTGCACTGCACTTTTTATGATAAAGCAAATCACAAAATCAGTATCTTTAACCGTCTTAGAAACGAAACCAGAGATAATTTAAATAAAATTATCACAAACCTTGTTCGCATGTGTCCGGATCTCCCACTCTATAAGAAACCATGGTAACTCCATCTGACAGACTATATGTACTGAACCAAGTACACCCAGTCTTAAAGTTTTTGCGAGGGATATATCTTGAGTTGCATTTTACGTTCAAGATTGTCCTTGAGAGAGGATTTAATATTGTTATTTTTCAATAACCTGTATTAAATTGTTATCCGGAGCTTTTTTCTAGTTTACTGATTAAAGTGGAATTTCGATGAGGTAAAAATGGCACAAAATAAAGCTTGTGGCCTGCGGGTGCTCCATTGAAAGTAGCTACCGTCCAAACCAATTGGTAGGCAATATAAATACATCGTTCAGACAGTTTATATTTCAGTAAAATAAATGTCTTACTCACTTATTATATATCTTATTATATATATTATGGGTATTTGTAGCAATTAATTCTCTATTGGGCCGATACCATCCTTCTCTGTCACCTCTTCCTGTGCACTCTGAGAGGATTTTGTTGAAACCAATCTGCGGTTATGAATTACACGGCACACAGAAAATAGTCAATAAATTAAGTTTTAAGTCAAATTAAATTAGATTAAAAATGCAAGTTTCCAGCTATTATAAAATGACTCACCACACTTGATAGGGATATTGTAGTAACCCATCGCTGTCTTAGTGGACGGAGTTATTGCAGTACACTTCTTTCCTGGGCATTCCAGTTCATCGTTTCTGCATCGATGTACAATTTTTGGAGTATCTGTTGTTGGCACACCTGTCCAGACAATGAATAAGAATTAGGAAAACTTGCAACTTTGTGTAGCGTGTATCATGATTAATGATGATCTTAAAATGTATGTTACGTCATAACAACTGCAACCACTCGAATAATTTAAAACCTTATTTATATCTGAAAATATTAAAAGCTGATGCTTTACTGTTAGATGAATGTTGAGCTTTAAAAAATTCGTTGTTAAAATTAAATGTCATCACATCAGATTCTCAACTATTCTGCACCTGAAGTAATTGTGGAAGGCCAACTTGACCCAGTAGTCCCGGTGTAAGCTGTAGTAGAAAGAGAGGCTTCTTCTGTTAGTTTAGATTCCAATGGGGCGCTGTAGGGGATGGTTGCGTTGGATGTTCTGTTAAACATCCTGTTTAGAGAGGTTGATCTTGTAGATGAAGCTGGTGTTTGTTTAGTTGCAATGTCATTCTGTGGAGAGGAGGAAGGACTGGGAATAGAGGGGCCGGAGAGACTTGATTCACATAGCAGTATCAGAGCTACAACACCGAGATGGTTCATTCTTCAACTAGGGTAATCTCTTCTGTAAGTCATTACTGCTGGATAGAGAACATCATTCAACAATCAACATCATGTACTCAAATATATTTTGGCACATTATCACAATCCCAAAACCACGTTTCTTATCATTGATAAGACTCATGTGTCAGATTACAGCGACAGCCTTCATATTCAACTGATAAGCTATATTAATGCAACTATAGCATTGTGAATAATTAATTAAATTAGTTAAAAGCCCTTTTGAAATGTTCATCTGTAGTGCAAACTAACAATTCGCTGTAGTACTCTGTTCATTTTAAGCAGGAAACAGTTCGATCGTTAGATATAGTAGACGAGTTAGTGGGTGGACAATTTAAAGATTGCAAGAGCGAATACAAACACATGCTTACTTCAAATACGAATTTGAAACATAAAAGTATAAAACTCGATTGTTAAGAATTTTCTAACGTAAACAAAGGCTGGTGTGGATGTCATAGCTTAAAGATCGTTCTGAAAATCATGGTGACATCATAAAGAGATAATATAAAGGAGTCACGCACTCATTATATCACAATTAACGACAAATTAGATTTAGTACTTCAAACAAATCCAACAAGACAAGGTTTGTAAAGTTGCGTAATATATAATATATAATGTGTGTGTGGGGCATTGACAAAAAGAATATACGGGGAGACGAGGATTAATTTAAACATACTGAAATTTAAAACCCCAATTAACAGGGGTGGCTTTGAAGGCTGGTCAAGTGTGAAGCCCTATAAATTACAAATTACAAATTACAAGTCGAACAAACAAAAGGGCGAATTTGTTCAGGTTTTAGATTTCTTTGATAATTATTGGTATTAGTTAATCTGACAAAAGACCGCTAGCAAAGCGGCGATCAAGTATAAATAAAGTTTTAGTTACTAAATCGTAGCATCGCAAACTTAACGTTGAACCATACAATAACGAAATGCTAGGCTGAAGTTTAATATATTTAGTGATGTATACAGCCGACTAAAATATGTTAACACTTTAACGCAAGCATCCACTGAACAAGTCGTGTTATAAACATCTCCACACTCCATCACAACACCTACTGTAAATCAAGCGGGTGTAAAACAAAATAACAAAAGAACCAGCCTCATTTGCAACAAGAGGTTAAATTACAGAGTCGCCCAACACAACCTAGATGCTAGACCTTGTATAGTCGCGTAATAAAACACCAATAACTAATAAGAAAATCGGTCGAAGAAATATATATATAATATATATATGCTGACATTCACAAATTATTCCATATAAGGCCAGCCTCTTTCGACAGAAGGACCAGGGTATGCCAAAACTAATTATATATAGCATAATATATGCGTTCTGTTGTTAGTGTGCCCAAGATGACGGATTAGGGTGGCGAGACTTTTTATTTAGATTTATTCTTACATGACGTGTATGCTGCAAGGGGGTTACATTTATATGAAAATTGATGGTATCAAGATATCATCCGATATCATGATATTATATTGTATATATATATCAGCAAACAGTTTCAATGTAATAGGGTAAAGCAAATAATAGTGGTAAAGCAAATAATTAAATTATTTAAGCGAGCGCAGCACCTACTTTAAAATATTCTACAATGACAGAAAGCCTATAAAACACTGACCAACAAATAGCAAATATATAACTAACATGAATAACTAACATATACCGCTATTTTCAGGACAAAGTTCGTGAGTTACGCTATGCGAGAGTACCACGAGACTTGCTACTTTCTCTTCAATAAAGACCTGGATGGGACGGAAACTTCCAGACGCAAAGGTAATTTAGAACTTTTAATTACTGACGATTCTCAGTGTTCATTATCTTATGTATGGTTCAAGTTTCTCTTACATGTATTAGTTTATCAATTTCCTGTCTCATAATCTAATGTGCCCGTCGAAAATTAGCATGAATTTTATGAAGTAGAGTTATCATACATCCACAGGTAAAAGGAACAAGATAGCAAAGTACAAGCCTAACAACGTGTACCCTGTGTGTTATGAGACAGATTTGTGCGCGCGGCACCTCCAGAAACACTCCAACTTGGAGGTCAACATGCGCAACACTAACATGCAGCGAGACGAGGTAGGTTAACATGCGCAACACTAACATGCAGCGAGACGAGGTAGGTTAACATGCGCAACACTTACATGCAGCGAGACGACTTAGGTTAACATGCGCAACACTTACATGCAGCGAGACGAGGTAGGTTAACATGCGCAACACTAACATGCAGCGAGACGAGGTAGGGTTAACATGCGCAACACTAAAATGTAATACAACGAAGAATGAGTCGACATAATATATCATACCATCCTGGTGAAAGGTTTGATATAGGCTATCCATTATCGGTATGAAATCTTTTATCTAGATAAACAGATAAAGATTTAGGTTTTATCTAGATAAAACCGATAAAACCGATAATTTTTCTGCTGAAGGCCAAAGCCAAAATGTATTCCAAATTTCGCAAAAACTAATTGTCGACTTTTATTACTGTTTACCAGTAATCTTGCTAAAGTAGGTCACTTCCTTTCTTTTTAAAATATTAGAGCATCAGTTTGCTTCTCCGGGGAGCAAAGGGCACCGTTTTCTTCAAAACAGTAGACCACTGGTTTCCTTCTCCTGAGAACAGTAACGCACAAGTTCTCTTCAAAACAGTAGACCACTGGTTTCTTTCTCCTGAAAACAGTAACGCACTAGTTCTCTTCAAAACAGTAGACCACTGGTTTCTTTCTCCTGAAAACAGTAACGCACTAGTTCTCTTCAAAACAGTAGACCACTGGTTTCTTTCTCCTGAAAACAGTAACGCACTAGTTCTCTTCAAAACAGTAGACCACTGGTTTCTTTCTCCTGAAAAAAGTAACGCACTAGTTCTCTTCAAAACAGTAGACCACTGGTTTCCTTCTCCTGAGAACAGTAACGCACTAGTTCTCTTCAAAACAGTAGACCAGTGGTTTCTTTCTCCTGAAAACAGTAACGCACTAGTTCTCTTCAAAACAGTAGACCACTGGTTTCTTTCTCCTGAAAACAGTAACGCACTAGTTCTCTTCAAAACAGTAGACCACTGGTTTCTTTCTCCTGAAAACAGCAACGCACTAGTTCTCTTCAAAACAGTAGACCACTGGTTTCCTTCTCCTGAGAACAGTAGTGTACTAGTTCTCTTCAAAACAGTAGACCAAGAGTTTCCTTCTCCTGAGAACAGTAGTGCACCAAATACCAATTCTCCTCGAAACAGTAAAGCATTTAAAGTGATTCAGTGAACCGTTTTCTTATCCTGTTGATAACTTTGAGCAACAGATTCTTTCTCCTGAAGACAATGTTTCACGCCCAGAACACTTACGGAATTCAATTGAGTGCCCTGTCGGTATTTTTGACTCTTGTTAACAGTAACATGCTCGTTCCCGGCTCCAGAATGGTTGTAAGGTAAAACGCCAGCACCCTCAAGAGAACAATGTCAATAACCTTCTCTGGATTTCTACATTTCATACAGTTCCAGTTCCATAGGTATACAAATGTAAATAAACCTCTTAAGCTCACATCTAAGTAAACTACCTCTTCTATCATACTAGAAGACGTTTGGGACTGTTTCTTGGATTACTTGGGAAGGCAAAAACACTAATATTTCTTTACAATTTTACGGTATTGTGGCAGTATTTTCGGTAATATCTAGTGAATTTTTATACCGATAAAAATATGTTTTATCTAGATAAACAGATAACTTTTTTTAACGAATTATCGGAGATAATTATCGGTTACGATTATCGGAGTGGATAGCCTAGTTTGATACCATGTATATTTTGGCTCATGTTCCTTTTTGTCAACATTTTGGGTGTGAAATATTTTCAATAAACTGTGCATTATTTTTATCAAATCGAGATAGTGAGGAAGTATTGATAGTCTCCCGTTGTGACATAAAGTTGTAATGTTTCAGATAGTGGTTATTGAAGTGTGGGGTAACACGCCGGAGATTCTGCAAGACGTTATAGATAGCATGATATTTCCGCTGGAAGTTAAGAAAGTAGCGTCTGATGAGATCAGGCCACACCCCTTCTTTCAGAGATCTACTGATAGATTTAATAAATTAGGTACGCTGTATATAATGATCTATTAATTTTCTTGTTTCCATGTTTGTTAGTCAGATAATCAGTATCAAATAACGGAGTAGTTCGCTGTTTATTAGTCTCATGATTGAAATACTGATATTGTTTGTTTGTTTGTTTGTTTGGGGACCAGCTTTTGGTACACTGGTTAATGTTTACTATAATATTGAAATATTACATTAGAATTAGATAAATAAATAGAAAGATAGAACATACCACTATATCCAAAAATTGAAACACTGTACCGTAGCACAGAACACAAAAAGTTAAACTACTGGCAAAGTGTCCTCAGAAAAATAAAAACCCTAAATATACCTAGCCTTGGTGAGACCTGCTTCGCGATTGCTATTCAGCGATGTGTGCTCCACAAGTCATCACATACCTGAGTTACAATCACGGTTGCAGTTTTTTAACTCACAATTAAAAGTTCCTCGTTATTAGCCGTAATCAACAAATACACGCAACAGCCATAAATAAGAGCCATACACACATTTAAATCAAAGTAATTATGTAGATATCAAAAACACCGAATGTTACACCTTAACCTTATCTACACTGAAAATCTTGCCGTCTCTAATATAATGATACTTTGTTGGCTCATCAGTGATCATTTCCTTTACTTTGACAACAAGTTTCTGATGAGCTGCTCTCTCCTCCTTGCTTCTGTCAGGTGTGATGTACCATGTGTGGTACGCTGTACATTTAGATTTCTTCAGATTTCTTGCTCGAGCAAGAACCATTTTTACTGATTCTGCGCAAGCCAATGTCACTTTTATTGGTCTCGGTTTACCACTGCCTGAAGTTGTTTTAGTCCCGATAGAATTTGCTGCCACAACTTTAGGATCACACCCTGAGGATTCCCAAATCAATTCGATCACTTCTTCTGCCACTAAGTGTGGATCAGGGGAATAATTCTCCGGTACACCGTAGATAATGAAATTCTTACTACGGATGTCGTCTTCAACTACGGTTTTCACAGCTGTTTTTATACTGTTGATCGACGGAGTACTTGAAGTTGTCTCGCAGTTCTTCTTCACGATATCGCTCCACGCTGTCTTCATCTCGGTATGAACAGTTGTTTTAAAAGAGTCGAGTTGCTCCTGTTGCTGTTTAATCTGGTCTTTCTGATAGTTCAGCTGATCTGATTTAAGTTTGTCTATCGTACTGGCTGCACATTTACAAAGTTCAAGATTACTAGTCATTAGCTTAGAAAGATTTTCAACTGCAGTAGCCAAGGGATCTTTATTTACAGCCATTAATCTCGAATGATTCAGTTCTGTAACGCTTTGTGCTTTTGACATCTTCAAAATCTCATTCATCGCTGACGATAGCTCCTTTTCAAATCTGTTCAGATGTTCGACGGAAAAATCCATTTTACAAAAGCCAAGGCGTACAGCACGACGTGTCGGTGTAACAGCAAGTTGAGATAACACTACCGATAAGAGAGCAATTAAAATGTTGCAAAAGCTAGAATAAAAGATTGTAACTGAGAATAAAAGATTGTAACTGGATATTATTCTGGATATTATCCGGTTGGAAGAGACAAGGACAAGTGAAACAAGGAAGTTAGGAGTAAGGGCAAATTTTCGGCGTCAACGCCATCTTCAGGCTCAAATTATTTGTTATATAGTAGTGTTGAAAGTATTAATACTTTCAACACTACTATATAACAAATAATTTGAGCCTGAAGATGGCGTTGACGCCGAAAATTTGCCCTTACTCCTAACTTCCTTGTTTCACTTGTCCTTGTCTCTTCCAACCGGATAATATCCAGATATCAGTATTTCAGATAATCAGGACCACATGTTTCTTAACCGTTGAGACGCTTATCGTTGGATAAAACCCCTGGCAGCAGTAGCCTACATTTTTGCCAGGTTTCGCCCTTTTAATGTTATTATGAATTCGATGGAGAGTTTTGGTAAAATTGCATAATCTCCTACATATTTCAGTGCACGAAATCAAGGTGGACGGCAGCCACAGAATTTATCTAGGTAAGCCTCTGAAAGATCTGCTTAAAAATGTGACGAATAGAGATAAAACTGTGAGCATGGAACACATCAACGGGGAAGGTTATAGGGAAACCAGAGATTTCGTTATTTTTGATCTTAATACAGCTGACTATGCTGTCGAGTCATGTAGAGGATTTCTGAAAGACAGAATATTTGTAAGTTACATTAAATACGACATTAATTTTCCTTCTATTTCTATGAAAAACCTCATTCATAACATTATTTTTCTGAACGATTCTTTCTTGCTTCATTTCAATGTATAAACCGAAGCTGCTTAGTGCTTATACAGATTACAGAACCATCTATTGGCTTTTACTTTACTTTAGGGGACGTTGCTTTGCCACATTTTTGTCTCTAGTCTAGCACCAACGAGCAAAACTCTGACCCATTACCTGATGCTTGTATCTTTTACCGAAAATCCTATCAAAAAGCTTTGTTTAAATACAATTGCTATTTAACTTATACTTATTTTCAGAACATTCAAAAGAAGCACAATGTCTATGCACACGGTCCTTTGTCTGCAACTTGCGAGTTTGGTCGATTTAGCCCCTATCCAAATTGCTTCGACAAGAGATCCTTATACGTAAACACTTTGAATCCTTTTATGGACCAAAAAGAGTGTGAAAAGCTTGAGAGAGATTTATCTGCGTTAGGTTTTAAAGAGGATACAACTTTCTTCCGAGCGAGGTGAAACTCAAATTCTATTGATATAGAAGGATATCTGTTGTTTCCAATCATCTTTCCAATCATAATTTTACAGTTAGAGTGATATCACGTTAAATGAAATTGCTTAATCAACGTGCTACTGTTTTCAGAATTCGAAATTACACCTTCACTACCGTAGTTTAGGATTAAACATCTCAGATATCGATATGCGCACGACAAAAGAGCTGCAGTTTCACTTCACCTCCACTTCGACCCTGACTTCACTGTAAAACTGGACAAGATCTCCTGGTCCAACATGACATGGTGTGAAGCCCACGTGATGAACGAGCGTCACGACCCAAACGACCACCATTCCCACCGGGACCTGATCTTTAAAATAGAGTCCTCCACAGAGCTGACTACAGCAGAATTACAAACTACCAAGTGTTGGAAAAATTTGGAGAGCGAGATCGGGACCCTCCTTCAGTTTGTGTCTATTAATAAAGGTGGGTTATTTCAAATGATCACGTTTCAAAAATGTCTGGTATGCTATGATCAAGAAACTCGAGACAGTTATTATTTTCGTTTTTAATTTTGCATACCCTGGCCTGCACTTTTCTTGTCACCATGAACACATAGTGCGTAAACAAATTCGGATTATTTGACTTGAAACGTTCAGCTGCTTTCCCTGAAATCTGGGATGAAACTAAACGCCAATAATTCTGACACCCTGCTGTACCACGATTATGAACTTACATTTTCAGGTGATTCTGCCAAGGTAAAATTATCTCCTAAGGCAATGCGACAGTACGAAACTGATGGCGATTTCCGAGAGACAATCACTGATAAAGTGAGAAATTTTGTTATGGCCAGCTCTACTAGTTCCAGATTATCGAAGGTACGTATTCATAGAGGGCGAAAATATTTGATGTAACAATATTTAATGTAGCAACTCTTTGGTTATACTCTCTAGACCTGGGCGGCTTGATAACATTAGACTTCATTGATAATCGTGAACATTTTTCAGGTGACATTCGAGATGGTTCAACGAACCACTCGAACGTACAGACCCGGATCAAGAGACCCGAAGAAACCGAATCCAAAACCAGCTGATAAAAGTGAATATCATTTGATCGCTCGTCTGCCGCATTTTGATGCCCTTTCTCTTGGACTCCTGAACGAATTCTTTGAAACATGCGCCAAGCTGCGCTGAACTCTGTTCTATGTAGGTTCTTCTTGGGCTGAGGTTACAGAGCCAGTAGTGGTTACAGAACCAGTAGTTGTGACAGCCAAATTTGAATTTTCGTTTTACGAAGGGCGCAATGTCTTGTACCTTATATCAGTAGCGCAAAATTATGATTAGTCTGCAAGTGCGAGCGTACGTACGTACGTTCGCGCGCACATGCGTTTTATTTGTGTGTCTTCAACGTACGAGCATTTATGATTTTGTTACTGACTTTTTTAAAGCAAGGAATTTTTACACTGAGATATTTTGATTGGCTTGGTGATATTCAACCTATTACAATTCATATGTAAACTGCCTCGCAAATTTTTTTCATTTCAAACTTAAATACGGCATTATCAATTCTTAGAACACCGATTCCATGGGTTTGATAAAGGAGCAACAACGTACGAAACGATTACTTCTGTACATGTATTGAATTATTCGTGTTTTTTGCTCAGTTATTCATAATTTCGACTACGAATTGCAGCAATCTTCATAATTTAATGCCTAAAATGCGTGCAAGATACATAAAGGTATATGTTATGCTTAAATCTAAATCATTAATACTCTAGCTGAACATTATCCGTTTCTGTTGACAATTTTTTAGCAGCTAACCTCTTTTGATGTTAGGGGTCGTTCACATATTACGTATTCAGCCGATAATATTATCCGGGGAGGGGGCTTCCAAATGATTACGATAGTGCTATTTTGACACAATAGCTATGTATAAAACTGATTAATTGATCCCAAAGCACACAATGTACTACGATGACTCATATTTTCAGTGGCCACTATCGCTCTTGATATCCTTGGTTTCTCTGCTTATCTGTACAGCGAATGGATCTGATTCCAATGACGTCGTTAGGTTGATGCAAACTATGGAAGAAAATTGTGACGGAAAAGAAGCCTGTGTCAATGAAAATATCGACCGCCTGATAAATTCATTGTCAAAAGGTCGAACCGTCGATAGAGGTCGGCAAATGTTCTTGTTAAGTGTTAACTCTAAATACTTTAAATTGTCTGCATGGTAATCAATCTGATTCTTTCGCTGAGGTTTGGCTTGCAGACAAAAAAAGCCTAAGAACATTTTATGTATATGGTGAGCCGGAGCCCAGAAGCGAACTGCTCAATCTGAGTCACCTGTCAATTCTAATGTTTGATTGGTCTACTACACATTGTGGGAATTAAAATTTGAGCAAGTTACTTTTTTGCCATATCAACCGATCAATGACTCGATGAACGCGTTAACAACGTGCCAATTTATCTGGTATTGGTAATTCTCAAGAAAGTTGAGCGAGTTTTCCCAGTTCCGATTATATCATCATCGTACTTCGCAGAGATTGGAAGCGATGATCTGTCAAACATGATTTATCTTATGAAACTCGTGGACAACAAATGTGGTGCGGACCTGATCTGCCTAGATCATCTTTATGATACGTTTCGGGATCAAATTGCGGATACTGGAGGTGATTAAACTATTCTCTGGGCTCGTTTAGCTAACTTTAAAATAATAGTAATACGAATTCAGCGAATTCATTTAGGTCTATAAAAAATACAATAAAATTAAAGACTATTAAAAAATATACATTATAGTATGTAAAATTATTTATTATATCGGTATGGTTTACAAGATCTTGCTGACACTGACAGAATGTAATTTTAACCCTTCTTAATAACACAGGTTCTCTAGCGAAAAATTATCTGGAGGATGAATCAGAAAATATTGATGAAATCAATTATTTGGGCGTTGGATTTGACATCGATGAGAAGTATTATGATATGATGGTACTTTCAGCAAAATTTGAAGATGAGATAGAGACAATTCTAGGAGGTGAATTTAGAACTTTCGCATATTCTAATACTTACTGGATATTATTATTTTATACTTTTTTCGTTAGTATACCTAATACTATAAAGTGGTCAGGATAAATCAACAAATGTAATTGTATTTGTGAGATATATTAATTAGTACATTTGTTATAGTAATAGTATTCATAAATCACACAAACTTTTATTTCTACTTCACCTTGATCTTTTAATTTATTTGTAAGTTTATACTTTTTCAGCTCAACAGAAAGAGCTAAAGGAAGAAAGAAAAAAATCTCGTGAGGAAAGACGAGAAATGTATAAACGTATGTCTGACGAAGAAAAGAAACAATGGAGAGAAGACCGAAAACAAAATAGAAAAAAGAACAAGAAAGAAAGGCAAGAAAAAAGAAAACAAAAACGTGGAGAAAGGAATGGTAGGAAAGAAGCTAGACGAGATAAGAAAGAAGATAGACAAACGAATAAAGAAGAAAGACGGGAAAAAAAGGAAAATAGACAAATAGAGAGGGAAAAGAGGAGGCAAAATAGAAAAGATAAGATGGAGGATTGAATATGGGAGAAAATGGAGAACGAAAATCAAGACAAAAACGATGATTGAACATTAAATTTAATCATAATGTATCATGCACTATACAAAAGATACTGTTTTCCAGGCCGCACCAGCCACCGCACGCAATAAATAATATTTGGTTCAATCAAAAAATATATACTAGAATGGTTGATTTGATGAAGGAGCAGCTATTACTATTAAACAAAATTTCCAACGTGCAAGTTAACATAATTTGTAATTGATCATTGGTACTTGTAAAGTGGCTATTTTCGTTTTCAAACTAGATTAAATTAATTGTTTTTCATTGCTGGTTCGAATTCGGTTGTCCTGGTTACGATCTATTGATAATGAAGGTGCGAGGTTTGGCTAGATCGTTTTGAAAATTCACATTTCAATTAAATGATATTTATCATTGCACCTTTCACTATCAGTATACATTAGCAAGGCCAATAATATAACGCACCAATAAAATAACGCACAGGGGTATATATTAATATTATACCCCATATCGTACTATATTGTAGACTCTGTGATTGAAAAGTCAGTCGAAAATGACGATTGATCAATGTGTCATGTTCAAATTTGTCTCTTTGAAATAATTCTTTCCTTGTACTAGTAGAGTAGTACTACAATTCAATTATATTCATACCATAATCATATTAAAAAGATTGGTAGTAAAACTAAACCAAGTAAATCGGATGTGGTATCAATTCCTATTTGCAAACGAAAAGTTAATCATATCATACAGACTATAAGAGCCTTTTCGAGCTTCGATTTATGCATCTTAACCTGTAACCTGAAACTATTTGTTCAAGTTATTAAAAAAACCAAATTATTATTATATCTGACGTAACAGTGTTCGAGCGAAAAGTTTCAATATATTGTGAATGATTAAGTTCTGCTCGCAGAGAGCATTACCTGCAACACTTCTGTTTGTTGGCGTTCTGCTGATCTTGGTTGCAGCAGCGAAGGAAAAAAGGAGTGTCAACGAGTTGCTGGGAGAGATAGAGAACTTTTGCAACGGAGACGAAATCTGCTCCGGTGATTTGACGGACGACCTCATCAATTATCTGTACGATGGTCAACCTGTAGGTAATGGATTCATTAGAACACACAATATTCAATTGATTTAAAACTCTTACATGGAGCTTGTAAAAGTTGTCAATAGGCAGTGGTATGGCATGGATGCAATTAAATAATAATTAATAAATTAATTTGTAAATCTTAGTTTGCTCCAATCTTGCATTGAACATTATTGAACATTATTGAGCTGACGACGATTAACACATGTTTATTGAAAGCTTCTACAAGGTAAGCTATCGTATCACTCGTATGTTTTTAACCCAACTCTATTCAGTATTATTGATATAATTTTGCACAATCTTGCATTGAACATTATTGATCTAATTTTGTACATTATAGTTATACAACATTGGCCTAACCTCTTGTTGTATAAGATTGCATAGTTGCATGTTCTCCACTGTAAGTGATTAAGTTTATAACATCAATATTGAGTATTCACAAATAATCACAAATTAAAACAGTACCAAATTTCACTTTCAGATACAGATGTTTCGGAAACGACACTTCTGATGGAAGTTATGGACAAAAAGTGCGCTGTTGATTCTGCTTGTTTGGAGGAACTGTATAAAGAGTTATACAACGTTTTGGAGCAGTCCTATCAGGAAAATACGAGGGAAGGAAATCAAAATTACTTAGGAAGCGTAGTGGACAAACACGACAATGAAAATGATGCCAAAAAGGAAGTAAAAAAAGGTAAAAACACGAAACTTATTCCGAGCGTGCTAAATCAATTTACATTCTAACATCGAGATTTTTGTAAAAAGTCCCAGACAGTTGAATACCCACTGAAATCGATGTGTAACATTAGCAATAATGTCAATTGTCTGATCATTTATAACATAAACTTCATTTTATAATATTATTCTCTCAGACAAAATGACGTCTGCAGATCGAGCAATGGCGGAGATGCAATCCTGGGACAAGAAAAAGAGAAAGCTGTGGGAGAAGAAGCAATCAAAACTGAAAGATCTGGAGAGAAAGGATTGGAAAGCTGAAAAAAAGGGCTTGAACAAGGTCTACGGTAAAGTTGTTGTAAGAAATTTCAGAAAGAATGAAAGAGATCAAAGGGAAGACCAGATGGATTTATTGGATGATGAGGAAGATTCTGATGATATAGAAGACGAAGATTTATTGAATGATGAAGAATATGAAGATGAAGTCGATGTTGGAAAAGGTAAAAACACGAAAGTTATTCCATATTCTGCGTAATTATTTTTGTTATTAATTGCCTGCATGTGCAAGACATTGCCGTACACTGAGAGTCACCATGATGATATAAGATTATGTGCGGATATTTTAGAGTGAGGGGAAGTAATGTTTGATCTTGCAATCTTAAAATTGGACTAAATCATTTATGATCAAGGTCGCACTCTCGAAAACGATTAGTTTTTCGTGAATTAACAAAAACGCTGAATTGAAAGAAAAAAAAATCTAATCTAACACTATTAGTATCAAATATCAATCTAACAATAATGTGTGATCATTTAAAGCCTAAACTTCATTTCATAATATTCTCTCAGGCAAAAAGACTCTGGCAGATCGGGCAATGGCGGAGATGCAATCGTGGGACAAGAAAAAGAGCAAGCTGTGGGAGAAGAAACAATCAGCACTGAACGATCTGGAGAGAAAGGATTGGAAAGCTGAAAAAAAGGGCTTGAATGAGGTATACGGTAAAAATATTGTAAAACAATTCAGAAAGAATGATAGAACTGAGGAAGATTCTAATGACATAGAAGACGATAATTTATTGAATGATGAAGATGAAGATTATGAGGGAGATGAAGATTATGAGGGAGATGAAGATTACGATGGAGATGAGTATGAAGATGAGTATGAAGATGAAAATGAATATGAAGATTACGAGGGAGATGGATATGAAGGTGAATACGAAGATGAGTTTGAAGATGAAGATGAGTATGAGGTCTATGGCGATGAGAATAATGACGTACCATATGGACTTGGAGACGATGGTGCACAGCCACAGGGTCAGGAGTTTGAATATGCAGATGATGAAGAATACGACGCTGACAATTATGAATACGAGGATGAAGACGATTATGCACAGGATGAGGGTTACAATGATTACTATGACGATTACAATAATGAAAATGAGGAAAACGATGATTATGAGGATATGAAGTACGGTTAAAAATTAAAAAGATAGCAATTAAAAAACTGGAAATTAATAAATCTTAACATTGTCAAGTTACTTTTTCAGGTGCTAGCCTAATCTGACTGTAGAATTATTGTGTGAATGTTTTTTAAGAGGGGGTTCACTCTGATTTTTTTGTGAAACTATTGAGATAGCAATTGACCAACAACAAAAAAATTAAAACCATGAGTGACCGAACTTTTGAGGGGTCCCGGACCTCAACCGCCAAACAGTGCCCGCAAGGCAGCCATGCCTAATTTTGCCAAATACCCTGAAAATGCCCAAAACCCAGATTTTAGTTAACGGGTGATACTCGTAAAATATTTGTTTCAAATATTCGGCGCGCGTCCTGGTAGGTTATATTATTATTATTAGGTTATTATTATGAACCTACAAGATGTTAGGTGCTTTACTTAGTATTAGTAACTAAATTGGTCTCCTGAACTTGTATCTGAATTTTCATCAAGATTGAACAAAAAATGACTGAGTTATGAGCCAAAAACCATAAGCCCATATTTGGGCATACGCACCAAATTTGATCGATTTTTGCCCATAAACAATAAATGATAAAATTTGTTGTGCATTTTTCAGAATTTGGCCGCCAAATTTTTTAAAGGCCTAACTCAAAATTCTAATACAAAACTTAAGGTCGAAATGCGATTCTACGTTGATTCTGAAAATTTCATGTAAAAATATTGAAACCCTATGCTATTGTATTGGGTTCTATTGTTTAATGTTTGGGACCCCCTCAAAATTTCGGTCACCTGCAGTCCTAGTCTGTTGGTCAACTGCTATCTCGAAACCAAGTTTCACAAAAAATCAGGGTGAACCCCCCCCCCCCCCCCCCCCCTTGAAGTTAAGACACTCTTTAAAAAATACATATTGTATAAAAAACAAGTGTGACTCGGCTTGACTCGATCTCATAGAGTGACAGTTTTCATCGTCAAGAATTACGAAATGGCTGTCAAATTTTGAGATTGAAATTAATTTAATTTATAGTTAAGCATGAGTTACATTGTGTGATTGTGACTTTTACATGTCAGATTGTTGTTAATTTTTACATCGCATCACCATAAAAATCAAAACACGTACTCTTTGTTTAATTCAGGTTTTTTTAAATTTCGCTCGCTCAAAAATTATCACGTGACTTGGGTTTTTGCCATGGGTGATGGGGGTATGAAACTGAAAGTGACACTCGAATTATTTTTGAACGCTGATTTTGAATCACCATCCGATCCCTTAGGCTTAAGAAGGGTAAATACCTCCCTGAAGAGTTACATTTAAAAAACTGCGTTGGTCACGAGATTGATTGAAGATGTCAATCCGGCCATCGAGATCGTTGCTCTCCGAAGCAGAGCAACGATCGACGATGGGTTGAATGCTAGTTTACGCGGCGCGTCGAAGTCCTCCAAGTCACGTGACAGGCTAGTAAAACGCAAATTCGATTAATGTGTCTTCTGATCTGGAGTTAGGGTTGACGTTATGCCATAGGCATAACTTATGGTGAGCTTCGGGAATCGGGGTTATGGCTCATGGTTGGGGTTATGGTCCATAACCAGTTAAATTTTTTATCCGTAACTCCTCAGTGAGGTATTTTACCCTACTTCAGGTTCAAGGATGGTGATTCGGAATTGAATCAGCATTCAAACATAATTCGAGTGGAGTCACTTTCATACCGCCATCACCCATGGCATTTTCACAAGATTTTATAAAATTTTTGAAGAGTTCAAAATTTTGCGATTCATGAAAAATAAAGGACGGAGCACAGTTTTTATGGCCTAATTGACCATCTTTCTTCATATCTTTCTTCATATCTTTGTAATTGTAGGTTCGGAGGTCAAATTCATTACGATATGGAATATTCGAATAAAGGATTTCAATGCAACCACTTATTTGGATATTGTGCTATTACTGTTATTGACAGTGTTAAACTATATAAAAAAGAAAGAAATTTGATGAAGGAGCTCAAGTTGTTCAGTCTAGTGTTACAGTTCGAACACGCTTACAGTTAATTCCAGGCTGCTAAATTGTGCTTGCTCAGTCGGTCGCCATGTTTTGAACTTTCTTCAAGTTTATCCTTGAACCTGCAGCATCGATTTTAAAGCTGTATTTGAATGAAACGTCAACGAAACAGTATGCAAATGCAGAAGGTAATTAATTTAAAGTACGTTTAAAACTGTTGATATCAGTTATTAATTCTGATTTATGAATAATTTATCGTAGTGAACTGCTTTAAAATGTGTACCGTCACGTTTCGTCCTGTTCAGTTAAGTGGACTATCGAGATGCTAAGAGTTAACTGGCAGGTATTGATTGTGTCTTGTGAATATGCAGTAAGATATTCTCTCAAGGTTAGTTTCTTTCAGATACCAATCATATTGGCAATTATGCTGTCAATGACCGGAAGATCAGTCAAGGCTGAAAACGTAAAGAGAGATATAGTAAATCTTATGGAGAAAATAGACGAACAATGTAACGGTAACGAAGGTTGTTTGAAGAATATGTACAAGAGGCTAGAAGAAAATATCGGCAGTTACAACAAAATATACCCTGGTAAAGATATGATCTTGCGAAAAGTCGACCAATATTTTGGCGTTGATGCTGATGGTGACAATTTTGACAAAAATTGATTTTTTCTCTTTTTTCCAATGATAACTTATATTTATAACAATAACACCAGGCCTTCCATACGGTGATGCTGATCAGAATACGGCAGTAGATACAGAAAGCTTCGGGCAAACAAATGAGGAGAATATGTTAATGTTAGATCATGTGAAAGACGAATCTAATGAACAGTTGGAACATGAACTTGATCATCTGAAAGATATGTTTAACCGAATCCATACAAATGCTGGCGCAGAGCTTAACAGTCCTTTTGGAACAGGTACTCTCATTCGTTTAATTTCACATTTTAAAATGAATTTGATAAATCTTGAATCATTTTTGATATGACGACCTTTATGGATTTTGAAATGTGAGTAGTGCTCGTCAAAGTGAATTACTAACTAAACTTTCACTTTCAGGTACACAAATGGAATCGGAAGACGATTGGGGCGGTCTAGGATCATCAAATTCAATACCTGAAAACAAAATTCGTGTATTGACGGGCATGGATGTTAATCTAAGCGATGTAAGGGCTATGGATAAGGAAGATAGGCTAAATTGGAAACAAGAAATGAGGGGAAAGCTACAAGAAGCAAAGGGAGAGCGCAAAGTGGAAAGGGATGAGTTGAAAAGACAAAGAGAAGCGATCAAAGACAGTAAACATGAACTAGAGTACTATCAAAAAGACATGCTTCTTGAGCTAGAAGAAGAAATCGCTGAGCTTAACGAGGAAAAAGAGGAATTATTAAAAGAGAAAGAAGAAATACTACAAGAGATTGAAAATAGAGATAAAAATGAAGAACCAACCGAACCACCATTCTAAAGTCAAATACATTGACTTTAATTGCCTAATTCGACACCAGAAAATAATTATGTTGATAGTGAGAGTTAAATAATAATTGACTCATGGCTGATAGGACTCAATATTCTAAATAAACAAGCTACTAAAGTTTCCGTTATTTTAGGAAATATGTACCATATTTCCCCATATTATATATATATCTTGTTCATGTTGTTTCATTTCATGTCCGAGGGCTGTTTTGCCAGGATATTCGTAATAAAAATTAAATTGCACTCTTTATGGAACTTGTACATAAGATTTTATATATTTCCAAGAGGAGTTGGAGGTTCAGATAATAGTTTAAATCATACAGCCTTCTTTTAAATTTTGCCGCATTATAGTCGCACCAGATCGACTAATGCCAGTAGACATTCTATTTATCAAAGGATCAAGTATTTGGAAATGTTTACAGTAATCAGTATTGGGTCGTTCACATAATATTGACCAACCTTTTGACCAATTTTTAACCCCCGCTGTAATCAGTTTTACACATAGCTATTGTGTTGAAATTACACTAGCGTTTTGGAACCTCTCCCTCAGCGATAACGTAATATGTGAACGACCACTAATCTGAAATCCCAATATTTAGTATCACAGAAGCCTCAGTCCATGCTTAAATTAGATCGTATAAAATGCATTCGTTCATCTTGTCAAACCTTTCTAGACTTATCAATTCATATTTCATAACCTTCTTTCATGATATCCATTTTATCTTCTTCCCAATCTAGGGTACTAGGACTAACAAACCCGAGCTCAAATTGCTCAACAAATCGTTCACGTCTTGACCAACTTGAAAAGTTTAGTGAGTCGTTTCTGATTGGCACTGATGTATTCTGAGAAAGTCTGCACATTTGGATTTAAAGCCTGCATGGTTCTGACGTCACGTAGCGGAGCGTAGTTGCAGTGGAAGTCGAGTAGAGTCGCTAGTTCCCTGTTATTTTTCTTGTCCCGCTGATACTCCTTCCACGATAACTGGATGGAGATGGGATTCAAGTAGTGTGGAGATTAAAGTGGGGTAGAAACTCAATTGACCTTAATTATGGAGCAGCCAGCATAAATATCAACAGAAACTTTTCAAGTTAAGGAGACGTTATAAATGAAACACGAGGATTCATTCTCTTGATTCAACAGTATGGGTATTGGGTAAACCGAATCCTATTTCCATACCTTTTCATAGCGCCAATCTATTTTGGTCTCTTTGAAAACTTCCGTCATTAGTTGGACGAACTTATTTATATCAATCCGATCCACCGTCAGTCCAATAGTCTTGCCGATGAATATGTTCGGTCTTTCGAATGCCAATTTTACAACAGGTCCTAGGTAAATATTTGAAGTTGCAATAAGTATAAATAACTTTCCATCTCCCCTTCCGTAATTGTTTGAATTAATCTTTCGTTAAACTTAATTAACCATATCAAACTTAAACGTACTTTATAGGGGGGGGTGTCATGTCCGTCTATGTCCGCCTATGTCCTGTCCTTTTTGGATTCTATGAGACAACGGACGTGTTTTTTGGGACATTGGCGGACACGGACGGACATTGGCGGACTCGGACGGACATTGGCGGACTCGGACGGACATTGGCGGACTCGGACGGACATTGGCGGACCCGGACGGACATTGGTGGACATTAGCGGACATTAGTGGACATTAGCGGACAAACATTTTGAGGACTGAAGAGTACTGAAGAGTACTGAAGAGTACTGAGGAGGATGGCTGAGGAGGATGGCTGAGGAAGATGACTGAGGAGGATGACTGAGGAGGATGACTGAGAGGGAGGAGAAGGATCAGGAAGACCCAGGAGGAGGAGGAGGAGGACCCAGAAGGAGGACCTAGGAGGAGGAGGAGGAGAACTGAGGAGGATGACTCAGGAGGAGGACTGAGAAGGAGGAGGACTGAGGAGGATGGCTGAGGAGGATGGCTGAGGAGGATGACTGAGAGGGAGGAGGAGGAGGAAGAGGAGGAAGAGGACTGAGGAGGAGGAGGAGAAGGACTGAGGAGGAGAAGGAGGACCCAGGAGGAGGAGGACCCAGGAGGAGGAGGACCCAGGAGGAGGACCCAGGAAAAGGCCCCAGGAGGAGGAGGACTGGGGACGAGGAGAACTGTTGAGGATTGATGAGGAGGACTGAGGAGTAGGAGGAGGACTGAGGAGGGGAGGAGGAAGAGGACTGGGGAGGATCAGGAAGACCCAGGAGGACCCAGGAGGAGGAGGAGGAGGAGGACCCAGGAGGAGGAGGAGGACTGAGGAGGACTGAGGAGGAGGACTGACGATGACTGAGAAGGAGGAGGACTGAGGAGTACTGAGGAGGATGGCAGAGGAGGATGGCTGGGGAGGATGGCTGAGGAGGATGACTGAGGAGGATGACTGAGAGGGAGGAGGAGGAGGACTCAGGAGGAGGACTCAGAAGGAAGAGGAGGAGGACTCAGGAGGAGGACTCAGGAGGAGGACTTAGGAGAAATGAGAAGGAGGACTGAGGAGAACTGAATAGGAGGAGGAGAAGGAAGGGGACTGGGAGAGGACTGGGGAGGAGGAGGACTGATGAGAAGGATGAGGAGGACTCAGGAGGAGGAGGACCGAGGAGGAAGAGGAGGAGGATGAAGAGGAGGAGGAGGACCCAGGAGGAGGAGGACTGAGGAGGAGGACTCAGGAGGATGGCTGAGGAGGATGACTGAGAGGGAAGAGCAGGAGGAGGAGGAGGAGGACTGAGGAGGACTGAGAAGGAGGAGGAGGAGGAGGAGGACTGAATAGGAGGAGGAGGAGGGGGACTGGGGGAGGACTGAGGAGGAGGGTGGAGGACTGAGGAGAAGGATGAGGAGGAGGACTGAGGAGGACTGAGGACTGAGGAGGAAGAGGAGGAGGATGAAGAGGAGGAGAAGGACCCAGGAGGAGGACCCAGGAGGAGGACTCAGGAGGAGGAGGAGGACTGGGGAGGAGGAGGACTGTTGAGGACTGATGAGGAGGACTGAGGACGAGGAGGAGGAGTAGGAGGAGGACTGAGGAGGGGAGGAGGAAGAGGACTGAGGAAGATCAGGAAGACCCAGGGGGAGGAGGAGGAACAGTAGGAGGAGGAAGCATCTAAATGTTATTTCCATTTTTGTCCGTTTTTGACTATTTTTGTCCGTTTTTGTCCGCTCTATTTTTGTCCGTTTTGAAAATATAGGGTACCGAACGGACAAAAAACATGATCCCCCTATAACAGCAAAAATCGAACATTTTATTTAGTAATTTAGGTGTCCATTAATGTCCGCCTATGTCCGCCTATGTCCGCCTATGTCCGTCTATGTCCGCCTATGTCCGCCTATGTCCGTCTATGTCCGCCTATGTCCGCCTATGTCCGCCTATGTCCTGTCCGTTTTGAAAAAAGGCCTTACACTGTGCTTTCAGCAATACTCATAGGGTACCGAACGGACAAAAAACATGATCCCCCTATAACAGCAAAAATTGAACATTTTATTTAGTATTTAGGTGTCCATTAATGTCCGCCTATGTCCGCCTATGTCCGTCTATGTCCGTCTATGTCCGCCTATGTCCGCCTATGTCCGCCTATGTCCGCCTATGTCCTGTCCTTTTTGGATTCTATGAGACAAGCGGACATAGACGGACGTGACACCCCCCCCTTTATACTTAAAGTCTAACACAACAAATTGGGGCGGATAAATGTATCCCATGAGTACATGCCACCAACAAATTGGAAAAGTCAATGAATATAATAGGACAATATAAATGCTAGTTTAAATTAGTGCATAGTAACCCATTATTGTGCAATGTGCATTGTGCAATCAAGTCGGGGGAGAATACAACTACTGCACATGATGCATCTTTGTCGGACAAGGCACTTTTTTCCTCACAAATATTTCTCACAATTTCGATTAATTTGAACCCGATTTACCTATGTCAGAGTAGTTCATCACGTCAAAATCCAGCTTACTATCCACTATCCCCGTAAACACGTAGTCACTGAAGTATGACGATCAATTAAAAATTCACCGTCAGCTGCTTCCAAAACAATATCCAAGATGAAGTCTCGATAAAAAAAAACTTGTTTGAAAGTTAATTTAGTCATATTGAGATTTGTCGGAAATACTGCCTACTGCAGGGACTTAACTCATAATCCTACCTAATGTCTTAGGGAATGAGGTTGTGGGGCTGGAGGTTGTGGAGCTAATAACTTGAACAAAGTCGTGGGGTTGGATGTTGTGGGGCTGGAGATTGTGGGACTAATAAAGTTGTGGGGTTGGATGTTGTGGGGCTGGAGATTGTGGGACTAATAAAGTTATGGGGTTGGATGTTGTGGGGCTGGAGATTGTGGGGCTAATAAAGTTGTGGGGTTGGATGTTGTGGGGCTAAAGATTGTGGGGCTAATAAAGTTGTGGGGCTAATAAAGTTGTGGGACTAAAGGTTGTAGGGCTAGAGATGGAGGCCAGTTAAAAAGATAAATAAGAGACCTGCCCTGACGAGTTGGTATGAGGGTGTTAACGAGGTAATCGTAAGAGAGCGGTAGTTTTAAGACTGTCAGAGGTAACCCCATCCCCTTCATCTGGTACTCTATTTCTCCTTTACCGTCATATCTTGAACACCTGGCACAGGATATTCGATATCAAGGATACCCCAATTCAAGTTACTGAGGAATTGAGACAAAATTCCATAAATTAAGTTACATGGACGGCTGCTAAGCTAGGATTGAGTAAGTGTTGAGGAATGCTATGTAATCATTGGAATTCTTCGGTCATACCTGTTGCCTGTTATTCTATAAACGAAGTCAACTGCAGAGTATATCACATGCTTTATGCGGAGTCTCTCGCACATTTCCGCCAACTTCACACCGACCTGATCATGAATATACTTTAGAATTGATTTTATGTACTTAGAATTGCTTTAATAAGCTTTTATCTTATTTTTGACAAAGAGTGCATCAGCTTTGACGGCGAAATTTTAGGACGCATCCTAATTATTCGGTACATTTTAGTTACAAAGGTCAAAGATACTTTTCTCACATCTGCATGCACTGTGACTTCAACAAAGGATTCAAGATCTAATTATAGAAACCATCTCATTGATAACAGAGGCGATAACATCAACTACTTAGAAATTTGAAATAAGATGAGATGGTCAACATGATAAGAAAAAAGAAACAGTATACTAGAAAAGATAATGTAAGATTGACATTTTAAGAGATAGGTACTGATGATGTTAGTTTGATGTTAATTGTTATGTTAATGATACTGATAATGTTAATGACTCTACCTCCATCTCTCTTCTCATTGGTAGAAGAGGATCAATATCGTTCGTGACAAAGAACACTCCGTACACGTCCCGAAACACGTTGTTTAGCTTTATTATCGGAATAGGCCCTCTGAAATCAGCGTAAACTTTTATAATAGGATAAAACAACGTGAATAATAATCACTTCATCGACTCATTATAACGACATTCTAAATGTTTGTTTACTGTAAACTTGACTTTTGAACAAGCAAAAACGTACGATTGATATATTGCAATATTGCTTGTAGACGATAGAGTACAAAGATATTTGGAAGAAAACAATCAATTAAGAAGGGCTCTAACTTTTCAGAGATTTCCACAATTTCAGATTCAACTCCCATTTGTTGAAAACGCGCCACCTCAGGACAATTCTTGTTAAAAATTCCTCTGACAGTGAAAAGTGGGTTACCTGAGAAACAGTCTTCATTAGTTCGGAGCAAAAAACGGCAAAAAAACAATAACGAGTTTTATTTTTACAGCAGAGCCCTTCTGAAAAATACAGAAACAGCTAACAACCCCCACAGCCCCCTAGGCCTAACACTAATAGCTGCATTCCTAGCCTGGGGACCAGATTAAAGCCGTAACACTAACCAACTAGAGCAATAGCAACACTGCTAGCCTGGGGACCAGGAAGTCCCCACACGAGGATTGTCTTCTTCATATCACAACTTTCCTCCTCGTCGTGCGTATATTCGAGTTGAGAGAGTCGAGCGATCTCTTCAATACTCAATTCTGCGCCGTGATTGTTGCTCATCCTTGGGAACTAAGTGTTAGATGTTAATCGGATCTGGTTCCGCTACATTTGATGAAAAGCAAAATCCAAACTCGTAGCTAGTATGAACAAAATATCAGAAATCGAAGATTGCTAAATTTTTCTAAATGACCTGATCACTGATGCGAATTTCTGTCGCAAACGCAGGGAGAGAATTTGTAGGCTATGTTTCAACATAATTTTAGAATGTACTGTAGACAGTATAACTTCTGCATTCTGATCTAACATATTATGTCAAACTTTTTAGAAAATATCCAGGACAAACGTTCAATGCGGGTTATTTCCAAATATCGATATAAGTAAGGTAAGTACAACTGTCGCTTTGATAATACAAGAGCCAAAATGATGTAGGTAATGTGTTTATTACAGGCGACATGAAATTATTCGAATGTAATGAGTAATAACAACGGTCCTAGACGCTATTTATCCGATGGAATTTGTCGCGTGATCAATGAAAGTGTAAAACCTATGGCCTACATTGAAGTCTGGTTTCAAAAAATAATGTATTTCAAAGAAATAATCATGTTGCGAGTAACCAATTCAATGAATATTGGAATAATTCGCAAAATCTGCGATGAAATTTAATTTGCATTAACAGTCAGCTGCGCTAGAAGATACAAATAACAGAGCTTTTTATTCATTAGAGCAGCACCGTCGCACTATCGAGTTACACAGTTAAAGTAGGATTCAATAAATCAGCTGCAAGAGATAAGGTGTCCCTAGCGTGCGTACATTTGTTTTATTTTCTCTACAACTTGTAGTTGTATAGAGATGTGTTGATGTTTTAATCTTATCAGAATGACATGTTACTATGTACGGATACTAGAAGAGGCTCGTGGTACTAAGGAACTCGTGGAACTAAGGTCAAGGAAGCTGTTATATGTTATTATTCGAAAGTTATTAAGGGGTCGTTCGCACATTACATAGTAATTTTTTGCCATTTTGAACACCCCCCCCTCCCCCCTACGTAATACTAATACGTTTTGCACATAGCTATTGTGTAAAAATTACACTAGCGTTATTATTTACAAAATAGAAACCCCTCCCTCACCCTCTGTAATAACGTTATATGTGAACGACCCGGGACCCCTAATTAAAGTTTGAACTCACCATTTTCCAGGAAAAGCTATTCAGATTGTAGACCGAGAGAGCGTGCAAAGAATACACAATGATCGGAGAAATAATTAATATTCGTCGATACTTTCCTTTCATGTATGAATAGTTGTGCGGTTCCTTCCTAATATGTTTTTTGTCCAAGAAGCAGAGCAATTGTATAACGATTAGTGAGCAATCCAGCTAATACTTGAAAGTGCATGCTGAGTGCGAAGTCTACAATGAGCACGACTGCAGTTCAGTCATGTATTCAAAGTTTTATTTATTAAAAAACGAACTGATTTTCTGCGGAGAACAGGTAACAAGAAGGCACTGCCGCCGTAACACCAAGATCAATCAGACAAATCAGACATATAAGACCGATAGCCACAGTCGATAAACTGAGTAGCACACATAATATCGCATCGAAACAATAAACAAACTACAGCCTACAGTGAAATACAGAATCTGACAAGCAAGCGGTGAACACATTGTGCTCGATATAATATTAATACCACGTGACGCGCGCTCCTAGAATTTTAAAAAGTGCTGGTGATTTATTTAGTGAACAATAGAATTACACGATCAGACCTCCCAAAACCAGATTGAATCACAGTTACAGTTTTACTTGCCGAAGTGATCAGGGCGCTATTATCAGTTCCTCTGTCGGCCTTGCCTTTGAGGAGGAGCAGACGGTACAGCGGTGTTTCCGGCGACCTAACGTCAGAGATATGTAAGCGGCGTGCTACCTACGATCTGAAAATAATAACATATTCAGTGGATCACACCAATCTCAGCCTCACTTGCTACACAGATACGCAGAGGAGCTGCCCTGAGCATGATTTTGCGATCTACTGATCTCAGATCTGTTAAAATGTTAAATTATAAAGCTTGTGTTTAACGTTATGTTTAATGAAGCAAGACGGCGGCATAGTGACCATCTATGTTCAGTCTGTGGACATTGTTAGTTGTTAAATTCATTCAGGAACTTTAAAGTCAGAATAATGGTATGGGTCAGATATTTAAAAAATGAAACAATTTTGATACGTTTTTTAGAAAATACAAATCATTATTGATGTAACAAACGGTAAGAGAATCAATAGGGAACATACTTGAGCCTTGGACAATATGGACATGGATCATTATTGAGATATAATTAAGAAATTAAAAGTAGAACAATTCATAAAATTAAAGTTCAACTAGGTATGAAGGAGCAATGTTGCGCTCCCACCGTGCTAGCATTATTAATTAATCAAAAATACAGGGATTCTTTATCAGATTTATTAGAAATGGCCAATCGGTAACCATGGCTCTTGATATTATTTTCATTATCAGCCCTAACATTACAATTAAAGTTTCGAGTACGTTCCAGGCTGTTCCGAAAGTCATTTGTAGGTGGAATATTATAAATTAAGTGCTATGTTTTGAATAATTCAGTTTTGGTACCTGGTTACTTTTAGTGGAATTCTTGGAACTCAAAATAAAAATTGTCTGAAAATGTAATATGTATCATATGTCTTCAACAGTAGATTAAAACAGTAAGTGGGTGAACTTGAATCAGGATCAAAAGGTGATCATATTATATGAGTTACCGATTTTCATAAAGTCCAGGCCTCAAAGTATGTCCAACATTCCAGAAAAAGAATAACAGATTAACACATACAGTATAGCGTACTGTAAGTGGTAACAATCGCAGTTTTAAGCGTAAAACTCAGCTTAATGCTAAAAAATACAGATCATTCCAAACTTACGAGTAAAATTCCAGCTCACGATAGAGACAAATAACTTCAGATTCCATTGAATATGGAAAAGAGAACATGTTAACCCATTTTTAACATGGTTACAGAACAATAGATATTACGCTGCGATGAAAAGAAGCACATTAATGCTAGTCTTTTCATCGCAACTGACGAGACAAATTCCAGCTCAGGATCGATACACTTTTCTCTGGACCACATGGAATACGGAATAGAGAACATGTTAACCCCATGTTAAACATGTTAAATATATTAACCCCATGTTAAACTTCCTAATAGAACAATGGAGTTGACGATGCAATGGAAAGACGCATATTTTATGCCATCTTTTTCATTGCATCACGCACGCGCTGGCATATGTCCTGTTATACTTATATGTCCACAACAATAAGAAAGTACACTCTTCATACGCCAGAGCATGGGTCACTTAGAGTCAAAACTATAAGTCTATCATGGTCATAAACTGGTCATTTCAATTTGTTTGCCAACAATAGGGTCTTAGTCACAACACAAGCTCACGTTACAGTATAAAAATAAGCTCCCAAAATTCAAATAACTTAATAAAAATTATTACCCTTATGCTAAGAACAATCAGAGCCGCACTAAATAGAATTACGAAAAGGTTGTAACATCACATACCAATAATAAAGAGACATGTTGATTAATGAATTAATGGCTTGCAACGCAAGCAGTTGTTTTGACTATAAATATAAGAAACGGCCATCGCGATCGATTTATAACATATTGCTATGGTTTATTCGAATGCGTTTCCCGCAAGATTGATACGAACGCAGCCTTATTAAGGATAATTTAAACTCATGTTACCACTCTACAAAATCAAGCAAATTTAACCGATAATATAAGTCACATGCACACCGTGATAATCTAGTCTCACTAATTGTTGTGTGATTGGTCGTACTTTGGTAGTAATTTGTCATTCATTTAAACCATCATGGACAACAATTTTAAAATAACATAAAATAATCAAGGATGATGTTCATATTATCAGGTTTAAGCTCTTTAAAAATGGTAAACACGGTCTAGTGTAAATGATTATAAGATCACATACACGTTCAAAAGATCAAACTTTAATAAAGACACGACTGTCCCTCTGTCGCTCAGCTTACCACACTAAGATCCAACACAAATGATCACTTAAAGTTACGACACAAATCATTATCAATATTAATACTACAAAAAGCCTCCATTAATCAAGGAGAATTAGAAGGAGCTTGAAAATCAGGAAATTGCTTTTCCCAGGGATTCTCGTGGTACTTCTTTTTTTAAATCTTTTTTTTTTAATTTTTTGTGTGGCACTTTTTAGAGCGTATCCACTTTGGATATACAGACGAGATCTGTTCATCGTTCATTCCATTAAATGTAAAAATGGCTCAAACAAGGGGAGAAGCCGGTACCTCATGATTTAACAATCCATGAAATAATTTTGTCCGACGCGACAATTTATATCAGGTTTTCATGTTCCTGTGTCATGATATTTCAGTCCAACTATTCCCGAGTTCAACTTTTCCTGGTCCAACTATTCCTGGTCCAACTATTCCTGAGTCCAGCTATTCTTGAGCAACGCTGTAAGATTTACAACTCCAGTTACCAGAAGGGACACCAGCCCATGTACAGTTGGCACAGGTTCTCAGTAGCAGTCGCCTGCTTTATCAAACTCTGCACCTGGTTCTCCACATCCAAATACTTCTCAGTTATGTCATCAAATCCGGTCAACTTCTTCTTTACTTTCTCAAGGATCTCAACTGCTTTCTTGTTGATCTTTGTTTCGTTATTTCGTTCCTGGTGATAATAGATTTAGATCTTTTCGAGAAAGTTATGAAGATTATTTAAATTTGAATAGCTGCATTGCTGTAAGCTCATAATAACGAAAGGAATAATATCTGGTATATTTACCTGAATTTGTCTTCCATGTCCATCTACTTCATAGTCTTCAACTAGCCTCCAGTTGATCAAGGGATCATACACAAATGTTTCCAGGACGGCTAGGATGCTGTTCTCGTTATTTCTCAGTACCTGATTGAACAAATTACCATTTTAGTTAAATTTCTTTATATGAATTTCATGGTTTGCTGATTGCTTAGGAACAAGAGTATATGATCGCAAGAAAAGTCTTGCGCGATATCTCCTACCAGTACTAGAGCAGTTGTTAACAAATCGCCGCAATTCTTCATTACTAACTGTTAGCCCAAAGATAAAGCGAATATAGCCCGCCACAATACAATGTCGAGAAGTGCGATTATAATTGTGGTGGTTGTAAAGAGGTTTTAAACATCATATCTATCAGTTAGCTGCAAATTATTGTACCACAAATCGCGAATATCTGTTAGTAAATCGCAAGGGAAATTTGTGGTAACTTGCAATTTATTAACAATTTGTCTCAGGGTAGCAAGTCATCTTGGTACCACATGGTACCACATATCATGCTACCACATATCATGGTACCACATGTGACATGATGCTTGCTTTTGGGTAAAGCTAAGACGAATAGAAAAGTACATTACCTCCATAACATCGTTACAGGTCATGGTGTATGTGCCGTGAATCCCGGTAACCTCCATAGCTTTCTGCATCATCCTGGTAAGGCGGAAGGGAACTTTCTCCGGGTACTTCTCCCTGTCACGTGACACGTCAAAACACTCTCCGAAATCACAGTGGATCAGGTTTCCTGAAAATGTTAGAAATGTTGTAAGTGTGGATTTTCTTCATCTCAGGTAATAATATTTTGAAGAAAACACCCAATTATTACAACACCAAAATATATCATATAGTCGGGGAACAGCTTTATCAAAAATAAACTAAAAATAACAAATGAATACAGTACCTGTCTTCCTGTCCATCATGATATTACTGGGATGTCTGTCTCCTAATCCCAGGATGTACCCCACCATACTCATAACAGCGTGAGAGAGGATGTAATTCTTCCTCCGCTCAAACCACACCTCGGCACTCGGGGAGCGCTGGTACAGGATCAGAGCTAGATCCTCGCCTGTTGTAATGTTCAAGACCTCCTCAAACACCTCTATCTTCATCATCAGGGGCAGTTTCTCGTAACAGAAACAGAACTTTTGGCAGAGTTTAGTCTCTAAGGTTGGAGTGACTTTGTTCCTCTCTCGGTGTTCCTTGATAAGGAGATGGAGGGTGTCACTGTGGGGTCTCCAGCCGGACAGTCCTGAGTGTGGACTAAGAGGAATGACACTGTACCTCTGGATGGACAGGTTTTGTTGTGCAGTTTTCTGGGAGTGAGCTAAAAGTGAGTTGACAAGTCCAAAGAGCTGCATCGCTCGTTCGTCTTGTCTCAGATCTTCGTTACCCTTCAGAAGGAAGGTGTAGGTTTTACCGTTACTACCAATCATGCTCAGCTTCCTAGGTCGGATCTTGCTCTTGATTACCCCGACACTGGGGTTGATAGAGTGGATCTTGATGATGGGTTGCCCAGGATCATAGGTTCCCGGCACCACAAGTTCCATGCTTCGTGCCTGGTGTAGAAGGATAGGAGAAGCGTCCTCTAGTCGGACTGTGTTCATCGAGCTGATACTCAGACCAATCCTCTTGTAAACTTTAAAGTAACAATCCCAAGCTTGTCGGATGTATTCTTCGGCCTTTGAGTCTTTGGATTTGTTGTATTGTTTGCACCAATCGTATGCTTCTGCTAGGTCACTACCGTTGACATTTTTGAAACTCTTTTCAAGGTCGGTGAGATTGTTCACTGCATCAGGATTTGAAAACTCGGGGTTCACAAGCTTGTGCATGGGGCTCAGAATCTCGAACATTCCTTTCGCATTCTTCTCTTGGAACCACTTACTACTTGCTTTCTCCAGAGCCTCATGCCACTGCTCGTTCCAGGAAATAGCGATCCTAATGAGCTCATTTGAGAACATGACACCCTCCTGTACAACTTGTGGGGTATGTTCTGTCATGAGATCAAGCAGCTTCTTAGCGTAATCCCCCCGGCTACAGTCACTGCTTCTCTTGGCCACACTCAGAGGGTAGATCAGAGCTTGAGGGTGCTCACGTCCCACGTCATTCAGCACCTGGTGGATCAGATCCCTTACACTCCTATCAGGCATGTCTATACGAGCTATCAACTGTGGGATCACCTGCATCCACGTTTTTATGGGTATCCTCATAACTCCGTTCTGTAACACGTCGCTAACGTCTCTGTTGCTACCGTGGGTAAACCAGAGAGTCAGCAGTCTTAGGATGTCTTGAAGAAGATTTGTATCCAGAGAGAGTGTAATCGACTCAATAAATCCACTGACTGCGGCAGTTATCAGACTGTACTTATACGTGATGTCGTTGTAGAGTCTGTCCTTGGTGAGGAGAAGTCGTTGTAATTCCTCGTTCTCGAGTTCGCTTTTTGGTTCCCGAGGTAGAGGGATAATCTCGTTAACAGAGCCGGGCTCCTCTGGTCCAGAGTCGCCGTTAGCAGAGGGATCGGGAAGTCTTATGATGGAGCTATCATGACCTCCCTCGGATACTTCGTCATCAGAATCTATATCATCTACATCATCATCCAAATCTTCCTCGTCTTCATCGTCCAGATCATGAGGAACTCCTTGCAGTTCTTTGATCCGCTCGTTGACTACTCTAAACTCATCCTTTAGAGATTTCAGTTTCTCAGGTTGTGCAGCGTTGAAGTTCATCATGGCCCACAAGTGCCACGACTTGTACCACTTATTGTCCATCTCTTTAGCTTCCCTGAAGAATTCTAGCGTCCCCTCAGCTGGATTAGGGTTAGAATGGTTCCCTTCGTTCAGACTGTAAAGCCACATTCCTTGCTTCAGCTTGTACTTGGATCTCAGTCTTCTGTCATCCTTTATATCTTGTCTGAAGTAACTCCTGTCCACTCTATCTAATCCTTGTTTAACGTAGGAATTCAACATCTGATAAGCTTGTATCTTCCCATCTTCATCTCTAGAATCGTTCCACTGATACTTCAAATACTGGTACACGACGTAGGGAGAGAGACTCTGTGTGGATTCCAGCCACTCGTTTGAGTCCTGGAATTTACTAGGATCTTTACCAATAAGATCTAGGAGAATCTTTTTAGAGAGATCCAGTCTTCCATCTCGCCTGGCGATGGAGCTGAATTTTAACCAAGCTCTTTCGTCCTCCTTGGGTGAGAGGACCAACTTGTGGACCTCCAGGATGCGAGACCAATCGTTGACGTTTCGCTGACAGCCTTGTAATCGCTGCCACCATACTTCCCGCAACCTAAAATTATGTTTGGTTAACGAGATTCGCGCTATTTTTAACCCATTTCAAATCTAAACATTTAATTTATACCTGTGTATGTAAAATGGTTCATGTGAGTCCCAAATTCATACAAAGCAGGGACAAAATGATTTCGCGATTATTTTGGCCAAAAATCGCGATACCGCGAATTACATTTTAGGGTATATTAAACTATACATGAAATTTGTCGCAAATAATAGGAAAAATCGCGATTCCGTACATGCCGCGAATTTCTTTTGTCCCTGGATTACAAAAGGACTGTTGAGGCAGACATTTCAACAGTTACTCGGGAAGTAGGAATAGCACATAATAGGCACTGAGTAGAAGGGTGACCACTGGCCGGTGGATGCATGCGAAACAGTTAAAGTGATTCAGTTTATTTTCCTTTAAGTTTGTTCTCCGGAACAACGCTCACAGCCTTTGAACAAGTTGCTAACCTGTCCTTCCTCTCGTCTCGTTTCTTAATCATTTCACTCTCCGTCTTGTATTCCCGACAGTTAGAGTAGTACCTAAAAGTGGTGTGTATGTGTCACGTGGTGTGTCATGTGGTGTGTCATGTGTCAACTGTCACGTGGTGTGTCACGTGATGTTTAGGTCGGATTATTTGCTATTTCTCAGAAACAACGGTAGAAGAAAATAGATTAGAAGAAAATAGGGTAGAATTACATACACTAGAATAAAATAGGCAAGATTTAATAGGAATGTAAAGGGACACTTAAGATTGAGTACATATTATTATATCCATAGAGACTATTTAAAGAATTAAAAACTAACCCCTTCTTAAAAGCAACCACCTCCTCCATTTCACTCAACATGTGCATATCTACAATCTTAGTGTACAGTCGGTGGTATCCCTCCTTTACAATCACCGTTATTTCCTGATCCAGCGTTTCTCTAGAATTAGCGGAGTTATTATTGAAATACATGAGCTATCAAGCGGTTAAGTATGTTGTCCAGAAATTACCACAATAAATGAAAACAATGAGTTTGCTTGGTGGATACCATGCCAACATGTTGATTTTGAATCCGCAATAATTATAAGATGAAAAAGGTTCTGTTGATTACTCACCTAGACTGGTCGATAAGGTCCTGAGCGGCCAGGTAATCCTTCTTTTCAATAGCGCTTACAGCGGAGAAGAAGTTCTTTTGATAATTCATGTCCATCTTATCTGAAGTTTATGAGATATTGACATTACAGTGAGGTAATGTGATATATCATGTGAGATGAGGTATTGACATTACAGTGAGCCACTTCGAATTAGAGTAAGAACAAAAAAGAGCGCAACATGTTTAAATTCTATCATGCGGGTGTTTCAATCTTTATCGAAAATCAAAACATTGATGACATTAATTTAAAATCTGGGTCCAATAAATTAGAGAACTGACCAGTATAATGTGTGAGATGGTCCCAGTTGGAAAGTCTCCAACTTGCTGTAGCAGCCAGACTAGCCATGCTGGCTTTATCCTCAGGTGAGAGGAGGTTGTCTACTCTGTAGTTCTGGTTCACATCACTCCCGGCTCTTGGTCTTGACAACACTACGTGGGACAGTTAGTTAAGAGGGTGCCACTAAAGTTGTGACTAAAGTTGTGACTAAAGTTGTGACTAAAGTTGTGACTAAAGTTGTGACTAAAGTTGAGACTAGTGACGGAAAGCTTTATTTTGCCACTTGCGTTGCCACAGTTTGGTTTCAATGCCGCAAACTATCAATATTATGCAGGTTCGATCAACCTCAGAATCTTAAGCAGTCAATTTATAAACCATGCATTTTACCACAAGTCATAATAAATAATAAAGTCAACAAATGTAATCTTTTGAGTTCGAGAAATTTATAAATTAGCTTATTACTTTCACGGATCAGTCAGAGAGGTTGTACAGTAAACTCAATATGATACAGAATAAATTTAAAGTTTAGTGTGTAAATTAAACTTAGGAGTATACTCCGTTTGCGAGTTTTATGTAAGTTGTGTCTAAGATAAAGAAATTAAAGGATTCCTAACTCAAAACTTACGTCGCTCGTTGACATTTGCACTGGTGGAGGTCTCGCTCCAAAAGCTATCGATCGTCTTTTGCATCTCTTCCCAACGATTAAGTGACTCCAAGCATCTGCCAGATATTGACCATGAACATTACCAATTATTTCAATTCTTATACACACAAGGACGCGCACGTATTTTCAATTTGAGCATTATCTAACTCAAGAACTGATCAAAGTGTACAGATCGATATTCATATATGATTTGTTAATAAATAAGACTGGCTCAATACAGGGCAGGGTACTCAAGTGTAAACAAGATTCCACCAACCTGAGTTTGCCGAGAACGTAAGAAGTTTTATCAGGTAGGTTCTGATCAAGTTTCTCGTTGTAACGTAACAGTGCCTCGTCCCACTGCTGTAACTCTTCATACCTGCAGGAGAGATGCTTTTAAATCAATAATCTACAGGGTGTACCGCATAAAGTGTGACTTTTTTCCACTTAAATAGTTTTTGACAAAATTAAACTTCACGGTTATTTTTAACTAAATTTTGTCAGAAATATACATAGTTGAATTGATAAAAATAATAAAAGATATGGTTAATAGTTAAGCATCTTCTCAAAAAAAGCCACCCTTCCCAAAAATTAAATATTGTAATCTGAAATTGAGGTCCAAGATTTTCAAAATCTCCGCCAGGCGAACAAAGAAAGGCACTCGAATCTCAATATTTCAGGGTAATGGCTTGAAATGTGGCTAAGGTTATCTTATGGTTTTCTTGGAGTAAGAGGTAACAAGGCTTAGTGTACGAGGTAAAGAGACAGACTGGTATTATATAGTAATGTTCACTAACCAGGGATCTAGTATACTAATGTTCACTTACCAGGGATCTAGTATACTAATGTTCACTTACCAGGGATCTAGTATACTAATGTTCACTTACCAGGAATCCTCAGGAGTGTTCAGTTTACTGGGGTTCATCTGAGCGTACTTCAGAACTCCCAGAGCAGCTTTAGGTTGTTGTAAGGTGTTGTTGATCCTCAGCAGTTCCACCAGAGTGCCAGGTTCCTGTTGAAGGAAGTCTTTCTCTGTGTAGTGGAGCGCTTTGGCGTACGAGTTACACTTCTTCGCTGCTTTAGCGAATACCTGGGCGTATGGTGGTAAGATTTCCTGGGAAGTTTTGTAATTTGCTGTTGTGACGGTTGTAATGTTAAGTTGAGTAGCACTTTAATACATTACTATTTAACATTTAACAGTACTTGTTATTTTGTGCTAACGTCAGTGTAACTGAAATCAGTGATATTCTCAGAAATTTGTGTAGTGCGAATTACGTAAACGAAATTGCATCAGCAGCTCCAGTCTCACCTCATTTCTGATATCCAGAGTGCCCTTACCCCAGTGCTCCATAAACTCCTGCAGGTTCAATATCGCCAGTGTCACCTCTGGAATACTCTGGTTTTCTAAAACCTTCTTCAGGTTTTCTCCCAGCTTGTCCTGAAATTAAGTCATCACAATGTAATTATGGTAATTAAAGTCATTAGCGAGGACGGTAAGAGTAACGCTAAGTGTTGATAGACCACGCTTTACTCATCGTTACAGTATGATAAGGTCATCATCGTGTGATAGTCTTATGTTTTTGAGATGTTTATTGTTTACATTATTTCTAGCTGTTCAACATTAGGTTACGTTACACTTTCCGAGCTCCTTATGTCAAACATGAATATTCAACAGTGTAGATTTAACCCGTTTCTGACCAACTACTCGCTGTATAAAACACGGAGGTCTTATTGTTGTAGTCTGTTTCCAGTCAGTGTGTGCGGGGATTAATAACGTTACGTCATTTTTACCTCCACATAATCACAATTGCGCAAGTTTCTTGTAATGAAGTTATTCGTCGTACAATGTTTTAATTCTGCGGGAAGACTCAAATCAAAATACTGCAGGTCATTGCGGAAATAAGTACGTACACCGTATTGTATTCCAGAAGTGGTGTTTATCGTTTGTTACTGCAGAACGGCAATATACATTCAGTGTGTAGGCAGTCCGCTGTGCCGCTTACCTTGTAGGGCTTTCTTTGTACTTTTTTACATCAGTCTAATACATATTATGCAGTTTTAAGCGTTACAATTAGTGTGCATGCATCTCACAGGAACATTCTGCTTTCTGGGAATGTTATTCTTGTATTGTCCGATCTTTTAGGCAAAGTTTTAAAACAGCTCCGTATACTGTACATTGCTCGATAATCGAATTTTCTACAAGTATAAATTAGTCTGTTGTCATTTCTGTGCGAAAGCTGCCAAACATAATTTGTATATGTAACTTGTTCAGCTGGTCTCTTGATTTGATAGCTGCACTGGTAATGAGTCATGTCTACTTACGATCAACCAGTTCTCCATATTTGGTCTAATAGTTTGATCTATTTAACCTGCAGTATGCCCCCTGTAATAACATCACACACGCGCGTGTAAAAGACACACTCTCTCTCTCCACAAATAACCCTTAATTCGATAGGGGCTCCATTTCGCCGGTGTCAAGTTCTAACATGTACAGCGTGTGTAGGAAGAATTTCCCTTGTATTGATATACACTCCGTATGTGTTTTAGTGTTTAACTGTGTGTACTCTCTCTAAAACGCTCTCTCTCACTCTCTCTCTCTCTCTCTCTCTCTCTCTCTCTCTCTCTCTCTCTCTCTCTCTCTCTCTCTCTCTCTCTCTCTCTCTCTCTCTCTCTCTCTCTCTCTCTCTCTCTCTCTCTCTCACTCTCTCTCCCTCACTGCTCGTGAGTGATTGTGACAGGTGTTTTCTTATGATCAAGATGTAGTTTCTCGTATAAACTGTTGTGGTGTACATTGCTCGTTTTACTTTATTATATCTTTATACATTGTGGTTTATTGCAGATGTTCTTTGCATTTCTTTCTAATTCACTTTGTGGCGACCATATACCGTTGTTATGTGACATTTTAAAATTCCATTTAAACGGATTTTAATATCTTTTAAACTTACGTTCATAAAATATCCCTTGTCCATGATACTCACGAACAAGCTTTACTCTAAGTTCAACCGTGTTGCTTGTCGAATTCTTTTCGCGGTACGAATTTAGTTTTACATAAATCTACAATTTAACTTTTTACATACTAGATCTTATCTCGTACTTGTAAAATAGTAATATGATTTAATATTATAGAAAGCGATGGCCAGTGATCGCACGTCAGATTATCTCGAGTCTATCGCGGTAGCAGAAGAAGTGGAACTTTTAACAGTGGCCCCCGCATCACCACGTGACGCCACGCCATCACCATGTCACGTGACGTCATCACCACGCGACATGACGTCATCAGACGAGCAGCAGCGCCGAGTGCTGACCAGACGGAGGCTGGAAACTACCAAGACCCTACCCAGCTGCATAGCCAATCCCAGTACTCTGCACAGAAGGAAGAAACCTCTGAGCGAGCAGGTCCTGGACTTGAGGGAGAAGAAGAAGCTTGAGAAGGCCAGGAGGAGGAAACGTTGGTCGTGCTGTCACCGGCTGTTTCACTGGATTAAATCCGGTGTGGCATCTAAGATAGAGTCGTGTAGTGAGAGTATAAGGTGGTCGTTCAGAGGGGCGTGTAACTGTGGGTGTAGTTGTAAGATCTGGGGAGATCCCATCAGCAGGATCCAGGGATATCTGGGATCCCACATCTCCACCTACTTCAAAGCTTTAGTCTGGCTGCTGAAGATAAACCTTATCTGCATGGTGTTGGGTCTGGTGCTGATAGTGCTGCCCTCCACCTACATTAAGACCACTAGTAACGACACCACGGAGTATAACAGAGACTCGGGCTGTTACAATTCTGATATTATTCACGGACATAGCAAGACTTCTGAAACTCTTAACTCTATCATCCAGTTTTTTACTGGTGAGTTCTAAAACTGGGAAAACTTTCCTGTAGTAAAAAATTATACTTTTTATCAGTTTTGGCCACGAATCTAAGATGTGCTTGAGCGGTTAAATTTTGTCATAATCTGTTTATATATCACAATATTCCCTATATTTTAGGCCTAATAAGTTGTACTGTCAATAACACTGCCACCCCCCAGGTACTGGCTGGATGGAGAACACCCCAGTTTTTATTGGCTGGTACCCCAAAGGTAAAGTGTGGACTCTAGACTTGGCCTACCTCTACACAGGGGTAGTGATCTCCTACTTCATCTTATCACTTGTTGTTATCAGCAGCAATGTTTCCAAACTCTTCAACCGATCTGCTGTGGAGACAGTCGGATTTAAACCGTACTCTGATCTTATATTCAACGCTTGGGACTTCAGTATCAAGAAGGAAAAGTCAGCACGTCTCAAGAAAGTGACGCTGACTAAGTCGTTAAAAGAGCAGCTCGAGAAGGATGCTCAGAAAGGTAAACGTAGGACTGTGTTTCAGTATCTCTGTGTTGGGAGCTGGAGGATTTTCACAAACTTTTTGTGTCTGGGTGCTATGACAGTGTTCTTCTACGTACTAATAGTATACGGAGGACTGTTAGATATAGACGTGACTGAGAATTGTGTTATGGCTGCAACGTCTGATGACACATCACTCGTTTATGACAAGCTCCTGAAAATCTGGGGCACGTATTCTGCATCGATCATCATGGCAGTGGGAAACGCAGTGTACCCATTGTTCTTCAGACTGCTAGGAGCTCTGGAGTTTTACAAGCTGGACAGTAACAGGGTGGTCATAACAATGGTCAGATCTATGGTCATGAAACTGACCACTATTTGCACGTTGCTGTATCTTATGTATCAAGAAGTGAGGTTGAGCGCTGCAACTGTTGAATCAGACGAGGTCGGTGAGGTTTCTATCTTCCCTGGTATAATGAATTGTTGGGAGAATCATTTAGCGTCTAAGATCTATCAAATGTGGATTGTTCATCACCTTGTTTTCTGGGTTGTTGCATTTTTCAGAAAGTTCATGAGTGTGGCTTTGAGACGTGTTTCAAAAGAGACCTTATCGGATTCGACATAACTGAAGAGATTCTAAATCTCTGCTACAAACAGATGATCGTATGGTCCCTCTTCCCCATCGCACCTCTCATCACTGTCGTGGCGGTGTTCGAAACTGTGATCGTGTTCTACATAAAACGTTGGGTTGCCATGGGATACCAGGCTCGTACCATAATTCTAACAAGTCAAACAGTGAACGTTGTTAACGCACTATTCCTTCTTTCACTGGTGGCTATATTCGCTTTTTACGGGATCATGGTCAGCAACTTCGCTCCCTCTGCTCACTGTGGACCATTCCGTGGTCAAACCAGTTTCAGTGACCTCTTTGAAACCATGACGGCGGCACTGGGGGTCGTTCAGAAATACACTATCATGACTCTGAGATCCATCACCGCTACCATCATAATTATTGTTGTTTTCTCTTTGGTTTTGTACTATTATAAATGTGCTGGAGCGAGCAAGGACGTTAAGATAAAACTGTTGGAGGAGCGGATTAGGTGGGGACAGGAAGACAAAGCTTTTTTACTGGCCAAAGTTTCAAAAAGGTCTCCAAGAAGAAGAGAGGAGAGTATTTTAAGTGAACATGAAGGTAGCTCCAGTTTTAGCAGCCAAAATTGAATAGGTTTACAATTTACTTATACTTTCAAGATATTGCCTTATTTTTTAGTTGTTTACATATTTTATAATATAATTGGTTATTTATCTCATCTTATTAATCTCAATAGAATTTATGTTTTGACCCTTACGGGTATTTGCCTCACAGAATGGCCAAAAAAAAGGAAGGTCTCTCAAAGTCACAAAACACACTTTATTCCAGTTTTTATCTCATAAGAAGCTAAGTTGACACTCATATTTTTCTTCCCGGGGGTTCATTTAATCTCATAACCATTTTTTCTTTGAGAAAAATTGGCCGGAAAATCTTCCTCGAAAAAAACATGCCTCACAGAATGGCCAAATCTGAATTTCTATAATTTTGTTGATGGAGATACTTTTTAAATTTCTATCACCACACGTTCTTAGAAAACCTATTAAGGAATGGGGTAATAACCTAAAACTCACGAAAAAACTGAGCTGTGAAAAATTATTTCACAAAAAAGAAAAAATGCCTGACAAAATGGCAACAAAAAAAAAGAAAACGGGAAAATTTTATTTTTCTAAAACCTTTGGCTCTTGTTTCAGGCATGCTGCTGGTATTAATATGCCTTGTTAACACCCCCATATAGGTGAAATTTCTTAGAACTGAATAAAAAGGGCATAATTTCCTACACCAAAAATGGCCATTTTGTGTGGCGTTGTTCATATTCCCTGATTTCATGATTTATAACCTTCATTCGGCTGTAAAAACACTCCATCTGGGGTGTTATTGTATAATAAATAGCTTGTGAATACTTTAGACTTATGGTTTCATTGAATAAAAGGAGTTTTAAATTTTGGCCATTTTGTGAGGCATATTTTGGCCATTTTGTGAGGCGTTTAGCCATTTTAACATTTTGTTTCTTCCTAAATTGAACAATGTTCGTTTTGTTTGATGAATACTATTCTTTAAACATCTTCTGTCATACTGGTGCCAGAAGTTCTCACCAAAATGCAAACTTAGTTCAAAAATTTGAAAACAAATTTTTCAGTGCTCAAAATTTCTACATAAACAGTCATATTTATGCCAGAAAATGTGGTCCTAGTTAATGATTTCACCACAGGAAGTGTTGCCAGAAGACTTTTGTTTCATATAGTATCCACAAAACCTACCAGTCTTTTATAAAAAATTAGTTACAAAAACATTTACAAATTTGGCCATTCTGTGAGGCTAGCCATTCTGTGAGGCATTTACCCGTAGCTTTGTTTGTAAAATGCACAACATCATATAATTTGGTAACTGCCAAATAAATGACTTATATTGAAATTTGGACGTTTCAATTAACGCTAGAGTTTTTTATGCAAGATAAAATCAAACAAAATGGAACTCATATCCCTTACATACCTGTTGGTGTTCAGTAAGCTGATCTGACCAAATAGAGACAAACACAGCGTTGAACAGGTCCTCTGCTAGATTCTGGTAGTGAGCTAACATAAAACATGCCCTGAGAAGAGGACAAAATATTTAAGGATAGTTAATGGTTAAGTTATTTAAGGATAGTTAAAGGTTAAGTTATTTAAGGATAGTTAAAGGTTAAGTTATTTAAGGATAGTTAAAGGTTAAGTTATTTAAGGATAGTTAAAGGTTATATATATATTAAGTTATTTAAGGATAGTAATCACTGTCTTAGGAAATCCTTCATCACATTTGGTGCCTAAGCAGTCGAGGCACTTTTACTGTAATATTATGAATTTGCCAGTACCCGAGCGATTGAGATCATAATATGATAAAAGAAGCTGTCGAGATCATATGATAAAATAAGCTATTCGAACTGCCAGCTTACCTCAAAGCAGGATTAGGAGTGTATTTCAAGAACTCAATCTTGAGTTGCCGTAACCACAACACCAGGTCCTTGGGGAAGAGGTTCTTGACCTCCCAGACACTAGCGAGCTGGTCCACATCTACTGGCAGCTTGCTGATTGTTGACTCTGAACTCGACATGTCTTGTTGGCGACTGTAGGATATGATGTTATAGCGTATTAAAGAAGCTCCCAGAAGACATCACTGGAGCAAATAAATTGTTTCAGTTAGTACATAGCTTCATAATTCATTTTCCCCTCAACAATCATGAATGTTAGGTGCACAAGTAAAACATAGTATACAGTATAGGAGAAAAAATGTCTCAGAAAATACGCCGATTCATTTCAAATTCCTACCCAGATACTTCAAGAGGAGGAACGACGGGGAGTACTAGATCTGTAGTGTTGAGTTGCGTGAGGAAGGCCTCAAACTCCGGCACTATGAGCTGGTGGCCGAGTACTGCAGACAACACCAACTGCTTGAATATCCTGAACCTATATTTGGGGTTACAATATATTAAGGAGGGCTAGTTTAGAAATAAAATTGCATGGTAGTTGGTACTGAGGTTCAAGATTATTTACTTGTCTGGAGAAGGACTAACCTGAAGCCGAGTTGTTTAGCGATGGCGAGTATAGCGTTCATAATGTCAGCCTTGAAGTCAGGATCCTGTGTGGAATCCAGAGAAGCGACCAGAGTGTGCAGCATCAGGGAGGCATGCTCTGAGTAATCCGCATACTGAGAATGAGAGGGGTAGATTGATTGTTAATTCGAAAATGTAAGATCTTATATTCTTAAAAATCAATCATTGGGACCCACAGAAAGTTTTAAATTTAATCGCAGATCAATGTTTACCCCCTAAAAATGTTCTTATGTTCTATAGATTTCCTCTTTGGCACCAAATTTCCTCCAAAATTTCCTCGCATATTATTGGTAATATGAAATGATAATTTCCTCCATAATTCACTCTTATTTCACACCAACTAATAAAGTCTAAAATGCACTTCAAAATTTCTGCATTTAGGCGGTTGCTCGCTTTTGTTCAGCTAGTAACGGACTGTTAAGGGGGCAGGGGGGGGGGGCCGGGTCTTCATGGAAATTTTCTCAAAATCGACTTTTTAGTTGTTTCTGATAGAGGGGAGTAATATCTATCAGATGCTTTTGATCCCGTGGAAAAATATCGTTTCTAGCCGAAATTATTGCCGGTCAAAGGTCAGCGCGTGTGTGTAATTATATTGCGTGAGCGATTTTTGATCGCGTGCCCTGAAAATCGAGTCTAAAAATCTATCCTCTCCTACATTTTTTATGCAATTACCCTGAAACTTTCAGGATATGTTCTCGGGATCATTTAGAAGAGATGAGCCAGACAGACTTTTGAGATAGGCCTTTAAAAAATTTTAATTCGATTTTGAAAATCTTGGACCTCGTTTTTTGATGATTTTTGAGGTCCACGATTGGCCTATCTCAAAATAGATATTACTCCCCTCTACTCCTCTATCAGAAACAACTCAAAAGTTGATTTTGAGAAAATTTCCATGAAGACCCCCCCTGCCCTCTTAACTAAACCCGTATGTTGTCTACCTGTGTTAATTATACTTCCATAATTACCGTTATAACGGTAATATATGATGTAAGATTAGTTACTCAAGATTTCTTTACTAGCTTTCCCTATTTAAGATTTAAACCAATTTTAGGATATGGTTAAATTCAAAGGAGAAGAGCGACATAAATGTTTATTCGTTATGCAAATATTGCACCCACAGTTCCTTAGCAAGAATTTGGCCTAGTTAATTGACATTTAATTGCCGCTGGTCGAATAGTTAAGTTATGAGAAGAATAGACAATAGGAATAGATGAATCCTTGACAAGAGTAATTTGCCGTTGCCCGACCAATCGACTGGTCAATCACCATATATCCTGGCCTCAATTTCTTGTAGAAATTTTATTCTATTGAAAATGCAAATCTATGCTAAAGACGAGAACGACTCTCGTCTCTCATATTAACATTTCCAAGCTATTGGTTAAATTGTAACTTAATTATGATTTAAATGCAACGTGACTCGAGTTAACTTTAAGCGGAGAGGGTGATCATTTAGTCGATCATTGAGTTGTATTTCAGTTTCTGTTTGAGATTTAAAGTCAGTATACTCAACAACGGCAAACCATTTAGTGTAACTCGGCATGTCCGTCAAAAGCGGCAGCACTTTCTTGCTGACAATTGTCCAGCTCATTGGTGTTTTCGAAGAAATAAAGGGTAAGAACAAACAAATTTTATCGGTCAATAATTGCGTTTTTGAAAAATTAGCGGACATTGACGGACATTGGCGGGCTCGGGCGGACATTAGCGGACATTAGCGGACAAACATTATGAGAATTTTTCGCACATAATTTGGACAATTGGAAGGAGCTTATATTCATAAGAAGCCTATATTCATAACCTATCGAGGCATCCCCTTTCCTATTCAATCTCGGAAAGCAGGCCTCCCCTTTTTTAAACCGAACTCGGAATCGGATTTTCGGCTCATAATGATCAGGGTAGCATGAAACATGAACAAAAGTAGTTTCCAGAAAAACTTTGACTTACAAAATTTTCGGTCCGAGACCCGAGTGATTATCGATACATACCTCTGAAGGCAGAGCTCCCGCTTCCGACGGGTCAATCTTATTAATATTGTTTAATCTAAACTACCTTTACAGCAGGTTGTGCAGACATATCCGCTGCTGAAAGCTGCGCATATTGGAAGTCTACTGGAGATTGTGATCAAGGTACAAAAGAAATAGGCAAAATGGGCATTATTCTCATTATTTTTAGGTCAAAAATAATAATTTCTGATATTATACTCTATTGAACTGAAATATAGCTCTACTTGCTTATTAGAGGACGGAGAACATCATAACTCAAGTTTCAGCTGTTCTTAATGCTTAAAGAAGCAATGCCCATTGATGCACATGCCCATTTGACCGAAAGCTCAGGAATAAAAGGGCAATGGGGTTGGCAATGATTTTCTTTTCTCGCAATTTATATCAAAATGTTTGCTGCGATCTGAAAACCCAAAATGATCCACAGGTCGTCAATCTATGAGATAATGACCGCTTAATGTCGCTGACGTGCTGGCCTTTGTGAAGTGTGAGAAGGAAAAAAGGTAAGCAATTACAAATTAAGAATTTGGTTCAAAAATTCCTTGCAATTACAATATCGGGGGGTGGGGGTGACATGTCCGCCTATGTCCGCCTATGTACTGTCCTGTCCTTTTTGGATTCTATGAGACATCGGACGTGTTTTTTGGGACATTAGCGGACATTGACGGACATTGCGAAGGGGAGGCCTGCCTTCCGAGATCGCATTACAAAGGGGAACCCTCGAGTCCAAAATCGTATATCGAAGGACAGGTGCGAACAAATATTTTCGGCTCATAATGATCAGGGTAGCATGAAACATGTCCGAGTCACAGGATCAAATATGTAAATATACTGGACCAATTTTCCCAACATTTTTAGAAGAAACCTAAATAAAAAGTTGGCATTTTTTGGCCCCTTGCCCAGATTTTATGGGCGCTTCCTACACCCCTGGAACAAATCAATGATCATGTTATACCTCTCTCTTGATAGCTTGGATCCTGAACTTCGCACTTTTTCCCTCTACTACCAGCATTGTTGCTTGTTTATTCGCACTCCTCTCCTGTCATCCTCTACCGGATATCAAGGTCACGTGACTAGGTGACTCATACTGGAATCTAGACAGTGACTCAGCTATAGGACGGTGATTATCACGTTCCAGACAGTGGCTGCATGCCAATAGCCCTGTTAAGCGCAGAACCGCTCCATGTGTTTGTAGATCACGTGATACAAATGTAGTGCACGTATTGGCTTGCCCAGGCCATGGTCACGTGATATCGATCCTGCATTCTGATTCGCTCCAGCCTACAGGGCTGCATGTCTATAAATACCCACACACAGACCAGTAAGTCAGTGAATTCTTAGTCTTCTGATATTGTTACCCAGTAGTGGAAGTTATTTCTTCTGACCTCGTATTCCGTTCTTTTTCTCTCGTCTTTTTAAACCATAACAATTTTGATGAGGATCAAAGAATCAAAGAATTTCTGCCTGTTTTAATTTTAGCTGGTAATATATATTTTATAGAAATATTGTATTATCTAAAGCTCCTTATTAAGGTCCTTTTCACGGCATCAGATAAGTTGAATTAACCGATTTTTGAAGTTGAGGGTTTTTGGAGTCCATAGGCCTGAAGGTTAATGGACCTTTTATCGTGAACTTTAGTTTCTTGAACGAAGAAATGTATTCACATCATAAGTATATAATATATCGGCTATTATACGACTTATCTTTCAGATGAAGGTCAATGTCCTGCTTCCCATCCCAACGTCTACAACAGAGGATATGGGTGTTGTAAATTTGATACCACGTGTCACGGCAGGGTGATTCAGAGAAACAGTTCGTGCTGCGCGGGAGACAACTACACGCCATGTCCCAGTGGAACCTGTCAGAACTACCAAGGGCCAGGTGGGTCTTTGATCTTAGATTTGGATGGCTGACGTAAAGTATCAGTAACAACGCCAGGGGCAACATATTGCAATGAGTGCGGCAAAATTTTGCGAAACATGCGATCCCGCACTTGCCTAAAATTGCAAAATATGCGACAAATTTGGCGAATAGTGAGGCTCGAGTCATATTAAACTTTAAAGCTTTAACTTAGATATCGGGAGGGTGTAACTGGTAAAAACTGTTTTTTTTACAGATCAATGTTTCCCCACACAAACTTTCTTATGTCCTATAAAAAAGGTCAGGTCTTCTAAAAACTTCCTCTTTGGCACCAAATTTCCTCCAAAATTTCTTCGCAGATTATTTGCCGATCTGCCGTCTTTCTGGATGTGGATTGTGGGGACAAAGACGTCGTTAAACGCGACAAATTACTCTTTTACTGAGATTTGTTAAAACATAACCACTGTATAAGTTTGTGACTAGTGACTATCAAAATGTTACAATAATTAATTAATTAATTAAAAATGATAATAAAAAATGTAATAACTAATTACTAATAAATTCTAAATGCACTAAATTTTTCGCATTGTTTTCCGCGGTTGTCCGATTTAGTTCAACTAGTAACGGACTGTTAAGGAGGCCGGGGGGCCGGGTCTTCATCAAAATTCTCTCGAAATCGACTTCATAGTTGTTTCTGATAGAGGGGAGTGATATCTACCAGCTGCTTTTGGTCCCATAGAAAAATATTGTTCCTAGCCGAAATTATCGCTGGTCAAAGGTCAGCGCTTATGAGTAATTGTATTGTACAAGCGATTTTCAATCGCGTGTTCTGAAAATCGAGTCTAAAAATCTATCTTCTCCTAGGTTTTTTGAGCAATCACCCTCAAACTTTCAGGATATGTTCTTAGGATCAGTTAGAAGAGAACTCTAGAGCCAGAATTTTGAAAATCTTGGACCTCTAAAAATCAAGGTCCAAGAATTTCAAAATCAAATTAAAAATCTTTAAAGGCATATCTCAAAATTCTTGCTCTAGAGTTCTCTTCTAACTGATCCTAAAAACATATCCTGAAAGTTTGAGGGTGATTGCTTAAAAAATGTAGGAGAAAATAGATTTTTAGACTCGATTTTCAGAACACGCGATTGAAAATCGCTTGCGCAATACAATTACGCATATAAGCGCTGACCTTTGACCAGCGATAATTTCGGCTAGGAACAATATTTTTCCATGGGACCAAAATAAAAGCAGCTGATAGTTATTACTCCCCTCTATCAGAAACAACTATAAAGTCGATTTCGAGAGAATTTTGATGAAGACCCCCCGCCCCCTTAAATCTTATCTTGTCTACCTGTGTTTATTAGACTCCCCTTCGTAACCGTTAGATGCTATATAAGAATAGTCACTCAATATTTCTTTTCCTTTGCTTATTAACTTTCCCGATTTAAGATTTAAACCAACTTTAGGATCTGATTAAATTCAAAGAAGAAGAGCGACAAACATGTTTATTCATTGTGCAAATATTGCAACCATGGTTCCTTAGCAAGAATTTGCCCTATTGATTTGCCAATTTTAATTGCTTCTGGTCCAATAGTTAAGTTGTGAGAAGAATAGAAAGTATGAATAAACAACCTGAACCGACTGGTCATGGACCAGTCAGTTCAGGTCAATCACCACATATCCCGGCCTCAATTTCTTGTATTAATTTGATTCTAAAGTAAATGCAAATGTCTGCTAAAGACGAGTAGGACTCTCATCTCAACATTTACAAGCTATTGGTTAAATTATAGCCCACGTGACTTAACCACAACCAGCGTGACGTGAGGTATAGCCCACGTGACTTAAACACAACCAGCGTGACGCGAGGTATAGCCCACGTGACTTAAACACAACCAGCGTGACGCGAGGTATAGCCCACGTGACTTAACCACAACCAGCGTGACGTGAGGTATAGCCCACGTGACTTAAACACAACCAGCGTGACGCGAGGTATAGCCCACGTGACTTAAACACAACCAGCGTGACGCGAGGTATAGCCCACGTGACTTAACCACAACCAGCGTGACGTGAGGTATAGCCCACGTGACTTAAACACAACCAGCGTGACGCGAGGTATAGCCCACGTGACTTAACCACAACCAGCGTGACGTGAGGTATAGCCCACGTGACTTAAACACAACCAGCGTGACGTGAGGTATAGCCCACGTGACTTAAACACAACCAGCGTGACGTGAGGTATAGCCCACGTGACTTAAACACAACCAGCGTGACGTGAGGTATAGCCCACGTGACTTAAACACAACCAGCGTGACGTGAGGTAAGTGGAGAGGATGATCATTTAGTCGACCAGTTTATATATCAGTTTGAGATTTTAAGTCAGTATATTTGCAACTTCTCTGAACGGCAAACCATCTAGTGTGACTTAACTTCAGAACATGTCCGTCAAAAGTGGAAGCATTATCTTACTGACGCTTATCCAGCTCATTGGAAGTGCAGAAATAGGAGGTAAGCTTGAAAGGGATTTACAATGTACATTAACCCATGTAAATATATTATTTAGGGCTCATTATTAAGGTACTTTTCACGGCATCAGATAAGTTTAATAACTGATTTTTGAAGTTGAGGGGTTTTGTTGTCCATAGGCCTGCAGTTTATGGACCTTTTATCAAGAATTTAATAATAATAATAATTATAACTCGTGCAAGTCCGAAATGGGCCGTGTGCTGCTTCTAGGAAGTACATATGACAGTGCATATCAGCACACTGTTGGCTTTCTTAGAGACCTGATGAGAACCAAGCGGAAATCATGATTGCCTGGTAAGCAAGTTCACACTCATTCCGAATGGCGGTAGACTTTACAGCTACACTGCAGCTTACACTGTAGTGGGAATCGCGTCACTGATATCCTCCGAGCATAATTACCAGAATAAATCCTGTACCAATCACAGCTTGGTGACCTGGCCTGCCTGCCTCAGACGGGGTTTGAACCCCGGTCTTCCGCTTGGGAGGCGAGTGAATTACCACTACACCACCCGGCCGACAAAAAAGAGAAGAATTTGAACGGAGAAATGTATTCACATCATAAGTATATAATATATCGGCTATTATACGATTTATCCTTCAGATGAAGATCAATGTCCTGCTTCCCATCCCAACGTCTACCACGAAGGATATGGATGTTGTAAATTTGATACCACGTGTCACGGCAGGGTGATTCAGAGAAACAGTTCGTGCTGCGCGGGAAACCAATACATGCCATGTCCCAGTGGAACCTGTCACAACTACCAAGGAATTAAGCCAGGTGGGTGATTTTTGATTTGGATGATTGACGTATCAGTGTCAACGCCTGAAGCAACATATGAATTATGAGTGCAGCAAAATTTTGCGAAAAGGGCGACCCCGCACTTGCCTAAAATTCCTTTTTGAGGTGGCAAATTTGGCGAATAGTGCGGCTCGAGTCATACTCAACTTTAACTTAGATATCGGAGAGTCTAACTGGTAAAAACTCGATCCGCGAAGCGAAGAATAAAACTGCCATCCCACGTGATCTGTGAAACAGATTTTTAAGAAGGCTCCTTCAACTCTTCAAGTGACTGAGACACCAGACACCACCATAAGGGGTATAGTATGATATTATGAGGTAACTAAGTATCGGCTGATGATGACGGATATTTCACGACATCTTTATTATTATTACCAGGAAGATCCGGTCGGGAGGTACTAATTCAATAATTGCACCAATAATGTCCAATAATTAGTAATTAGTTACAACATACAATCAACTGTTAGTTTTACCCCCGCCCCTTGAGGAATCTCTTTTTTAAGGACAGTTTTACCAGGAAAAAAGGACAACTCACCTCCGATATGTCCCTAATAGTTCTGACAGCCCTCCTTCGGATATCCATCTCGTTGCTCGTATCTCCGATTATAGCAACAATTTGTGGCAGAAGAAGGTGTAGGTAGTTATCTAGCGTCGTCCCGAAGTTTTTCAGTTGCCCCAGGAGGCGTTTAGTAGCTTCTCGACCGAGTGATTGGTCGTCATGCAACACCTAAAAAATCATACAAACATTTTCAGAAGGGTTAAGTAAATTTTAGAAACAGCGAGACGACCGATAATTTGGATACATCATCAATACTGTCCTGAAAATAAGAGGTATTTGAGAGGACAGTCTTCAAAATTAGGAATCATTAAGAATTTATTTACCTTCATGATAAGTGGAATGAGTTGAGCGATGTAAGTTTTGAACTCTCCGCCCAACGCATTTATCAGTCTTTCTACCACCATCATTATAGTATTTTGAAAGGGTGTATCGCTATCAGATCCCTTATTCCAGAAGTCTATTATCAGCTTGATAATGTCATTAGCATATGGTTTTATATGGATACCAACAATCTGAGGATTAAAGAAAAATTAGATGTATTGAATTGGGAAAGAAACGTTTGCTTAAACTGCATAGTATTCAGAGCGCCAACGTATATGGAACAAAATTTGTACTAGAATTTAAAATTGTATGTTTAAGTTAAGAAGCTCACATATCAACATTACCTTGGTCAAGTCAGCGAGTTTGTTGAAGTAGGAATCTACAACTTTAGGTTCTGAAGTTTTGACGTTCTCGAGGAAAGTTGGCATCACTTTTGGGAGATATCCAACTGTGCCAACACTACCAAGTCTCTGAAAGTTTGTAATCGCATTAACTAGCGAAATACTAAATACCAAATCTATCAGTTAATGAATCATTCTATGGATTTTCTAAAATTACATAAAATTCCAACAAATCCTGAAATAAAGTGATAACCTGAAAGACAGTTATAATGATCTGCACGACTTGAGAATGGTACTCGTTCAAGGACTTGTCCTGCAGTATGTTCATCAGAGCGTGGATAACCACGCAGGGATAATATTGTTTCTCCATGTTGAAATCCTTGTCTGACTGTTTCTGTATCAGCAGCTCACTGGGGAAAGGTCAAATGTCGGGATCATTTTGCAAACTCAACTTAAATATACGTGTAGACATACAAACGTGGTGGTACCATATTATATTGGGGGGGGGGGGGGGGGCATTGGCCAACCATATTATATTATCTGTATTCCCACTTGGGCCTCTATCAGGGCTTTAGAAGAAATTTTACAACAGTTTTGCAACTGTATGAAGTAAGAATAACCACTTCTTTGCACTATTAGCCGGATGTGAGAAATTCGTACCTGGTCAGTCCAGTATTAAATGAAACTGCCTCCATGGGAACTGGCTGAGTGATTGGGAACTTTCTTAGCTCGTTTAAATTAACTTTGTTGTTTTTGTAAGGACTGAGGGCGCCCAGTTGGCCCAATAGTCTCATACAGTCACCTCTGAAATATTCAACTATTACACTTATGAGAGGAAACAAAAACAGTAAAGCACAGCTATCAGCTACATAATGTTATTTCAATATTTGGTTGATAAATTATCTGTCACAGATTTGAACAATATTACCTGACGTCAGCAGAGTTCTCGGTGCTGATAATGTTGAGAAGTGTGTTGAGTAACTCTGGGTATTCTTGGTAAGGTTTCACGACGTATCCAGTATGTCGGACAAGGTAATACATTGCTCTTAGAGACGGCTGAAAATAAGGAAATTACAATCCACATTCCATGATTTAACATAAACACTGAAATAGTACCAGAGGAAGAGGTAATGTTGCATTTGCCATGAACGATATTCTTTCAATCCCCATAGTCAGGCACTATCGGCCTTATTTGATCCCAAAAATTGAGTTATCTCAGACTACGATATACCTCTCTTTCTTTCAGGTCTGAAATCCTCTTGATGAGGAAGGGGAAGAGCTCGTCAAGATATGTCATCATGGTTGCTCCGTCCACCTACATGAAGCACGGATGTTACAGAAATCGGAGGAAGACAAATTGTAATTTCACGTGGCGCGCGTCAAATGCGCGTCTGTGCTGCGCCGATGGGGCTACAAATTACAGCTTTTCCCTGAATTTTGTAGTGGATTTTGTAGTGGATTTTGCGCGCCGCACGTACTTAACAATATTTATCATTGTAGAATCTACGAGTCGTAGAGTCGTAGTACGACGGTAGCAGTCAGAAGTCTCAATAAACTGCTCGTACTTATACTTTTAAAGACACTTATAAGATATGAAAATCTAAGTAACACATCCACCCCACTCAGGCCGCCCATCCCAAATAGCTTGAAATCTGTGACAAATCCCTAAAAATCCAGAATGAGAATCTTTACCCCTGGGCCCTGAAGGGGATTTGTGTTGCTGAGTATTTGAAATATGTTTGGTGGTTAAATAGGTAGTACATATCCCTAACGATCACAAAGACCAAGTTTTAAGCTCTTGAACCACTCAAGCCACTCACAGAGTTGGCCAATCCAAAAATGACTGAAATTCTGGTAAAATCCAGATCGAGAATCTTTACCCCTGTAGTGCTTTTATGATCCGGGGTAGGTGGGACATGTTATAGTTTTAAAATGGGTTCTACCTGCCCAAAAACATCAAAAATAAGTTTGACCAAATGGGGGGATAGGGGGGGGGGGAAAAATTACAATGAAAAACCAGTTTAAAATTTTATGTAGGTTTTTAGGTTGGGGGGTGGGAAGTTTTATTTAAAAAGGGTTTTTCGTAAAAATTAAAAATTTTTTGATTAAAAAAAAAAATTTAAATTAAAATAGTAAAATAATTTAAAATTTTTTCCCCCGTAGGCTTTTGTTCCGGGGTAGGGGGAAATGTTTTATTTAAAAAGGGTTCTACCTCCCCAAAACCATATAAAAAAAAAAGTTTCGCCTCTAACCACTAGGCCACTCCCGGGGGCCACCCCCATCCCAAAATTCCCGAAATACAGTAAAATCCAGATTTTTAAAATCTTTCCCCCTGTAGTGCTTTATGTTCCGGGGGTGGGTGGGACATGTTTTATTTTTAAAAATGGGTTTACCTGCCCCAAAACCATCATAAAAATAAAGTTTCGCCCTCTCAACCCACTCAGGCCACTCCCAGGGGCCACGCCCATCCCAAAATTACCGAAATCCAGCTAAAATCCAGACTTTAAAATCTTTACCCCTGTAGTGCTTTTATGTTCCGGGGTAGGTGGGACATGTTTTAGTTTAAAAATGGGTTCTACCTGTCCCAAACCATCATAAAAATCAAGTTTCGACCTCTCAACCCACTCAGGCCACTCCCAGGGGCCACGCCCATCCCAAAATTACCGAAATACAGCTAAAATCCAGACTTTAAAATCTTTACCCCTGTAGTGCTTTTATGTTCCGGGGTAGGTGGGACATGTTTTAGTTTAAAAATGGGTTCTACCTGTCCCCAAACCATCATAAAAATCAAGTTTCGACCTCTCAACCCACTCAGACCACTCCCAGGGGCCACGCCCATCCCAAAATTACCGAAATCCAGCTAAAATCCAGACTTTAAAATCTTTACCCCTGTAGTGCTTTTATGTTCCGGGGTAGGTGGGACATGTTTTAGTTTAAAAATGGGTTCTACCTGTCCCAAACCATCATAAAAATCAAGTTTCGACCTCTCAACCCACTCGGGCCACTCCCAGGGCCCCGCCCATCCCAAAATATCCGAAATCCAGCTAAAATCCAGACTTTAAAATCTTTACCCCTGTAGTGCTTTTATGTTCCGGGGTAGGTGGGACATGTTTTAGTTTAAAAATGGGTTCTACCTGTCCCAAACCATCATAAAAATCAAGTTTCGACCTCTCAACCCACTCAGGCCACTCCCAGGGGCCACGCCCATCCCAAAATTACCGAAATCCAGCTAAAATCCAGACTTTAAAATCTTTACCCCTGTAGTGCTTTTATGTTCCGGGGTAGGTGGGACATGTTTTAGTTTAAAAATGGGTTCTACCTGTCCCAAACCATCATAAAAATCAAGTTTCGACCTCTCAACCCACTCAGGCCACTCCCAGGGGCCACGCCCATCCCAAAATTACCGAAATCCAGCTAAAATCCAGACTTTAAAATCTTTACCCCTGTAGTGCTTTTATGTTCCGGGGTAGGTGGGACATGTTTTAGTTTAAAAATGGGTTCTACCTGTCCAAAACCATCATAAAAATCAAGTTTCGACCTCTCAACCCCACTCAGGCCACTCCCAGGGGCCACGCCCATCCCAAAATTACCGAAATCCAGCTAAAATCCAGACTTTAAAATCTTTACCCCTGTAGTGCTTTTATGTTCCGGGGTAGGTGGGACATGTTTTAGTTTAAAAATGGGTTCTACCTGTCCCAAACCATCATAAAAATCAAGTTTCGACCTCTCAACCCACTCAGGCCACTCCCAGGGGCCACGCCCATCCCAAAATTACCGAAATCCAGCTAAAATCCAGACTTTAAAATCTTTACCCCGTAGTGCTTTTATGTTCCGGGGTAGGTGGGACATGTTTTAGTTTAAAAATGGGTTTCTACCTGTCCCAAACCATCATAAAAATCAAGTTTCGACCTCTCAAACCCACTCAGGCCACTCCCAGGGGCCACGCCCATCCCAAAATTACCGAAATCCAGCTAAAATCCAGACTTTAAAATCTTTACCCCTGTAGTGCTTTTATGTTCCGGGGTAGGTGGGACATGTTTTAGTTTAAAAATGGGTTCTACCTGTCCCAAACCATCATAAAAATCAAGTTTCGACCTCTCAACCCACTCAGGCCACTCCCAGGGGCCACGCCCATCCCAAAATTACCGAAATCCAGCTAAAATCCAGACTTTCAAATCTTTACCCCCTGTAGTGCTTTTATGTTCCGGGGTAGGTGGGACATGTTTTAGTTTAAAAATGGGTTCTACCTGTCCCAAACCATCATAAAAATCAAGTTTCGACCTCTCAACCCACTCAGGCCACTCCCAGGGGCCACGCCCATCCCAAAATTACCGAAATCCAGCTAAAATCCAGACTTTAAAATCTTTACCCCTGTAGTGCTTTTATGTTCCGGGGTAGGTGGGACATGTTTTAGTTTAAAAAAATGGGTTCTACCTGTCCCAAACCATCATAAAAATCAAGTTTCGACCTCTCAACCCACTCAGGCCACTCCCAGGGGCCACGCCCATCCCAAAATTACCGAAATCCAGCTAAAATCCAGACTTTAAAATCTTTACCCCTGTAGTGCTTTTATGTTCCGGGGTAGGTGGGACATGTTTTAGTTTAAAAATGGGTTCTACCTGTCCCAAACCATCATAAAAATCAAGTTTCGACCTCTCAACCCACTCAGGCCACTCCCAGGGGCCACGCCCATCCCAAAATTACCGAAAGTACAGCTAAAATCCAGACTTTAAAATCTTTACCCCTGTAGTGCTTTTATGTTCCGGGGTAGGTGGGACATGTTTTAGTTTAAAAATGGTTTCTACCTGTCCAAACCATCATAAAAATCAAGTTTCGACCTCTCAACCCACTCAGGGCCACTCCCAGGGGCCACGCCCATCCCAAAATTACCGAAATCCAGCTAAAATCCAGACTTTAAAATCTTTACCCCCTGTAGTGCTTTATGTTCGGGGTAGGTGGGACATGTTTTAGTTTAAAAATGGGTTCTACCTGTCCCAAACCATCATAAAAATCAAGTTTCGACCTCTCAACCCACTCAGGCCACTCCCAGGGGCCACGCCCATCCCAAAATTACCGAAATCCAGCTAAAATCCAGACTTTAAAATCTTTACCCCTGTAGTGCTTTTATGTTCCGGGGTAGGTGGGACATGTTTAGTTTAAAAATGGGTTCTACCTGTCCCAAACCATCATAAAAATCAAGTTTCGACCTCTCAACCCACTCAGGCCACTCCCAGGGGCCACGCCCATCCCAAAATTACCGAAATCCAGCTAAAATCCAGACTTTAAAATCTTTACCCCCGTAGTGCTTTTATGTTCCGGGGTAGGTGGGACATGTTTTAGTTTTAAAAATGGGTTCTACCTGTCCCAACCATCATAAAAATCAAGTTTCGACCTCTCAACCCACCTCAGGCCACTCCCAGGGGCCACGCCCATCCCAAAATTACCGAAATCCAGCTAAAATCCAGACTTTAAAATCTTTACCCCTGTAGTGCTTTTATGTTCCGGGGTAGGTGGGACATTGTTTTAGTTTAAAAAATGGGTTCTACCTGTCCCAAACCATCATAAAAATCAAGTTTCGACCTCTCAACCCACTCAGGCCACTCCCAGGGGCCACGCCCATCCCAAAATTACCGAAATACAGCTAAAATCCAGACTTTAAAATCTTTACCCCCTGTAGTGCTTTTATGTTCCGGGGTAGGTGGGACATGTTTTAGTTTAAAAATGGGTTCTACCTGTCCCAAACCATCATAAAAATCAAGTTTCGACCTCTCAACCCACTCAGGCCACTCCAGGGGCCACGCCCATCCCAAAATTACCGAAATCCAGCTAAAATCCAGACTTTAAAATCTTTACCCCTGTAGTGCTTTTATGTTCCGGGGTAGGTGGGACATGTTTAAGTTTAAAAATGGGTTCTACCTGTCCCAAACCATCATAAAAATCAAGTTTCGACCTCTCAACCCACTCAGGCCACTCCCAGGGGCCACGCCCATCCCAAAATTACCGAAATCCAGCTAAAATCCAGACTTTAAAATCTTTACCCCTGTAGTGCTTTTATGTTCCGGGGTAGGTAGGACATGTTTTAGTTTAAAAATGGGTTCTACATGTCCCAAACCATCATAAAAATCAAGTTTCGACCTCTCAATCCACTCAGGCCACTCCCAGGGCCAACGCCCATCCCAAAATTACCCGAAATCCAGCTAAAATCCAGACTTTAAAAATCTTTACCCCCTGTAGTGCTTTTATGTTCCGGGGTAGGTGGGACATGTTTTAGTTAAAAATGGGTTCTACCTGTCCCAAACCATCATAAAAATCAAG